CGGACAAAGACCCTGAGACTTTCCTGTCCAACTTCTTGTCAGCACGAGCCTGGATCCCCACCGATAAGCCAGACCTGCATCCATTCGATTCGGATGAGGATGACGATGTTGAGCGGGCGGACGCTATCGAAGAAGCATACAACTTCCGCTTCGAAGATCCCAATAAGATGAACGAGGTGATAGTCACCCACTCTCGTGATCTCACCAACCAGCAATCCGTTCGTCGCGAAGACAAGAGCTCCCGTAAGAAGATTCGCGACGCCGAGCGCGCTCTCAAGGAGGAGGAGAAGAAGCAGCGTGAAACTGAGAAGAATCGTCTTCGCAAGCTGAAGACTGAGGAACTCCAGAAAAAGGTAGAGCAAATCAAGGAAGTTGCGGGACTTCGCGCGTCACAATTCACAGACGAAGACTGGTCTCGTTTCCTGGATGCCTCCTGGGACGACTCAAACTGGGAAGCAGAGATGCAAAAACGGTTTGGTGAGGAGTATTACGCCGGGGAGGAGGGCGAGGGCAGCGAAAATGAGGGAGACAAGAAGAAGAAGCATCCTAAGAAGCCCACATGGGATGACGATATCGATATCAACGACTTGATCCCAGACTACGAAGAGGAGGAAGTGAAGCCTACACTCGAACTATCAGAAGCCGAAAGCGAAGATGATGAGGAAGCTTCAGGATCGAAGAAGAGGAGCAAGGCCGAAGAGAAGCGGATTCAAAAACGCGAGTCCCGCAAAGACCGTCTTCGTATTGAGGATGCGGTTGAGCGCAATCTGGATCTCGACATCACCTTGCTTCCTGGAGCTACGAAGAAGAACGCCACGAAGTTCCGCTACCGCGAGACCTCGCCGCAAAGCTTTGGCTTGACGGCACGGGATATCCTCATGGCGGACGACACACAGCTCAACAAGTTCGCTGGTCTGAAGAAGCTAGCCACCTTCCGCGAAGAAGAGCAGAAGCAACGTGATCAGAAAAGGCTGGGCAAAAAGGCCCGGCTCCGTGAGTGGCGCAAGGACACTTTCGGTGATGAGAATGGGCCGGAGTTCAAGTTCGGCGGCGATATCCAACCTGGTCAGCCTAAAGAGGCTGTTGGTGAGGATAAAGTTGATATTAGAGAGGGAGATGGCACACGTAAGAAGAGAAAGAGGTCGAAGAAGCATTAAATGTGTTGTACCTGTCAATCAGCCACTGTTTATATAGCTTTTTTTCAAATTAATTTATGAAATGAACCAACATCCTTTCTGTTAAGTTGAATGGTCGTGTACACTTAAGATAGTCCCTTGTAATCTATCTCAAGTATAAATCATCGTGTTGGAATACATACGGAGAAATAAAGTGAGATAAGGGGAAAAAAAAGCAGGTAGACAGTTTCAAGAAGTACTAGATGGTGATATACTGAGAATATATATCAGCAGCTTTTCGATCGAACTGGAATATAAAACACAAATTGCGACTATAGTTTGTCCAGGCACCAGAGATAATACTGTAACTACCTATGGATAGATCTTGAAAATTCGTTCGAGAAGGTTTTTCTCGCGATCTTTTGTTTTCAGGTCCATCCATATCCATATGTACATATCTACCTGAGTCCGTGATTCCCAAAGCGGAAAGCTCCCATGCGATGCGGGTCCACTTAGACGCTAGCGGTTGCTGGGGCGAAACTTGGGGATATTTTGATGACAAGCCAGCTACTCCGTATTGGAAGCTCCAATTGAGATCGCTTTTATGACCTAACTAATTGACATGGAAAAATGTAGAGTACTATGTTGTACAGATATTTTCTCAAGGACCAAGTGAAAGTGGAGCCAATGTTGTACTATTGGGTACCCTGACATTTGTTTAACATGTGAAGTACCCAGGTACTTTGTCCATGCGGCGATCCATCACCTTAAAGTTTGTACCCGCGACATAAAAATAGTAGCAAGGAAAAAAATGTCTCATATCAAGTTCAGGTATCTCTCACTACAAGACTTGGGAGGGATCACATTTGCCCAATTGGTTCTATGCTAAATTGACTAAATTGCCCTTGATCATTTCAACATAATTCAAATTAAGGAATAAGATATGTAGTTAGTGTACGGAGTAGGGCGTCGAGCAGAACTTGGGAGAATCCACTCGCCCGAGACAAACAAAGGGCTACTCCCTCTATCCATATACTAGAAGTAATATCGGGTCCTTTGAGTTCAAGTTCTAATAAATTGGAAACTAATCAAGAGCGAGATATTTGAAAACATTTTCACTCCAGAATGTAAGACCAGAATTGAACAGCCGGATCGGTGGCAAGTCCGAGATATAATTTTCATGCCCCATTTGCCATCGGATACCCGGCCAGCAAAAAGGAGGTTGCCCCGGGAGTGGAGGTCCGGCATTGGAGGAAATATACACCGTACACCTACGGTATTATGCACCGGCGCTTGGACCGTTGCTCGGGACTACAGGATGTCGACGATCACAGTTGAAAAGATTAGATATGCATTGATTTCCATAGGGAACAAGTGAACTATATAGGGTTATTGCATCATAGACTGAAATAAAATAGTCCATTTAACCATCTAAAAAAGGACACCCATATGACCTAGGTACTGTCCAGACCACAATATCAAGACCAGCTGGCTGGATTGCAGAATTTTCAGTGGATCGGGAGATATCGGCAGGAGGCAATCTAATACAGTATAATAACCGTAATATACAGTAATTTGAACACCTGGGCTTCCTGATTGGGTCTTAGCGCCTGGCGGTCGAGTATTTTTTTTCTGGCCCCCCTTCCCGCCTTCTCTCTTCCTTTTTCTTCCTCATTATCCCTGGTGTCTCTTTCTTCTTGACACTCTTTCCATCTCCTCTCTTTTTTTTTGCATCCCGTTTCTTTTGCACTATCTTCAAAATGGGTTCCGGTGACGTTAAACAGGCCGACAAGTCGGTGCTCGGCATGCCCGTGAGTATCTTCTGAGGATGTGAGCTGGCCTCGATGTCGCGTGAAGATTCAAAACGATGAAGTATCTACTTGAATGATCATCAACTTTGCTTCGACACGCGATTTCAAGGATCGGTCATCGCTATCTCAAAATCAATTGACCCGAGCAAGAATGCTAACATTTCACAGGGCTTCGTTGTCGACTTCTTGAGTACGTGTTGCGCTTGATGCTTGCAATTATCAGCAATTGCTCGCTTCAATAACAGCTTAAAATATCAATACTAACTGTGTATTAGTGGGTGGTGTCTCCGCCGCTGTCTCCAAGACCGCCGCTGCCCCCATTGAGCGTGTCAAGCTCCTGATCCAGAACCAGGTTGGTTACCACCCATCAAGCACCGATTGGAGCGGTCCAGAGGCAGAATATCATGCTTGATTGTGATTGCAATTGAGTGTGAGACTCAACATTGGACACAAGCTGTATTTTCGCATCGATCACAGCCTGTGAAAAATTTTTCTCCCTTGGCCCGTGACAGTCGGCAGCTCAATATCTCCACCAATCCAGCATCTAACCAAAGTCGATCAATAGGATGAGATGCTCAAGCAGGGCCGTCTCGACCGCAAGTACAACGGCATTGTCGATTGCTTCAAGCGTACCTCCGCTGCTGAGGGTGTTATGTCCCTCTGGCGTGGAAACACCGCCAACGTCATCCGTTACTTCCCCACCCAGGCCCTGAACTTCGCTTTCCGCGACACCTACAAGTCCATGTTCGCCTACAAGAAGGACCGTGATGGATACGCCAAGTGGATGATGGGTAACCTTGCTTCCGGTGGTGTACGTATCTCTGAAAATTCCTCTTGTGGTTGGATTACAACTAACAAACCTTTTAGGCTGCCGGTGCCACTTCCCTCCTGTTCGTCTACTCTCTGGACTACGCCCGTACCCGTCTGGCCAACGATGCCAAGTCCTCCAAGGGTACTGGTGAGCGCCAGTTCAACGGATTGGTCGATGTCTACCGCAAGACCCTCGCCTCCGACGGTATTGCCGGTCTCTACCGTGGTTTCGGTCCCTCCGTTCTCGGAATTGTCGTCTACCGTGGTCTCTACTTCGGAATGTACGATTCCATCAAGCCCGTTCTCCTCGTTGGTCCTCTTGAGGGCTCCTTCATCGCCTCCTTCCTGCTCGGCTGGACCGTCACCACCGGTGCCGGTGTTGCATCTTACCCTCTTGACACCGTTCGCCGTCGCATGATGATGACCTCTGGTGAGGCCGTCAAGTACTCCAGCTCCATGGATGCTGCCCGCCAGATCATCGCCAAGGAGGGTGTCAAGTCTCTCTTCAAGGGTGCTGGTGCTAACATCCTCCGTGGTGTTGCCGGTGCCGGTGTCCTGTCCATCTACGACAAGGCCCAGCTCGTCCTCCTCGGTAAGAAGTTCTAAGCGATTCACTGAAATGTGAGTCTCGTGCCACTGTAGTTATACTGGAACAGGGGATGTGCATCCCTCCCCCAGTGTGACCACTGGGCGTGGAAGTCGAGGATGTGGGATGGTCAAAAGATAGATGCGTCAAGAAATGGGTCCGAAGGATCTTGAAGCATAGAATGGTCTAATTCTTCCTTTTTGTGTACCCAAATGTACTTTACTGCCTGCAAACTCTTTCGTTTTTTTCAACTTATCCTTCTTGCAATCTATCCTTCGTAGATATTGTAAAAGTAAATAATCGTATTAGGGTATCAACAAGCTAAGACTAGACTACTTTCTGGATCTCTCCAGGGCTGGGTGATTATTTGAGATATCATCCTGTCAGGGATGCACGTTGGTTTAGGCTATGTTCGCATACTCGAAACAACAGCAAGCAACGAGGTTAACCACTTCCAAAAGCGCAGATGCCTTTCAGCCAGCGTTATACGAATGCTTCAAACAAAGTTCACAGGCAACAGCAAAAAAAAAAAGGGTCCCAAAACGGTCCCAAAACGGCAAGGCTCCACAGCGGCAATAGCTATGACGTCTAGGCTCCTTTGAAGCTACGAAGCCTCCTCACTCCCCCTTGACACCTAAAGCCGTTCATTTACAGCATATCTCTGTATCACTATTCAAAATGTCTTCTCCACCAGGTATCAAAACCTACACTTCAGCGCCTGTGAACTCCAACAAGCAGGAAGAAGGCACGCACACAGCGACCTCGCAACCTGAACCCGCCACCGCAATCGAGTCACCAGCAAGCGCACCCTCACAACCTCCACAAGCACCTGCAACAACAACAGCAACAGCAACAGCCACAGCTCCCTCAGACCCTCCAATCGACACAGCCGCCGAGCCCAGCTCCTCGCCACCACCAGCACCCCAGCCAGGCGCCGCAGTGCAACCAACCCCAACAGCAACAGCAACAGCAACAGCAACAGCCGCCCCCGAACAACCACCACCAACAACCTCCTTCCCCGAGACAGCAACATCCACAACCCAGACCCCACCCGCACCCCAGCCCGGCGCCCTCCCATCACCACCAACAGCATCCACAGAAACAACAGTATCGCCCAAGTCCTCTCCAATCCCCCCACCCCCCAAAGCCGGCGAAACCATCTCTCAACCTCCACCACAAGCAGCCCAGCCAACCCAGCAAAGCTACGCGCAATCCTACTCCTACAATGCGCCCAGCCTAGGTCCGCAGACTACACTGCCGAACTCGACCTCCTCGCCTTACTCATCTGTATACCAGAGCCAGGCGGGACCGCACGCTCGTCACCAGTCACAGGCGCAGACTCTGCCGATGCACTACGGTGCCAGTGCTGAGACGGGGTCTGGTGGTGGGGCGAGTAGTATCTTCCCTGAAGAGGAGGAGGGGTTTATGGGTGCGGCGAAGGGGTGGATGCGTTGGTCTGGGAATAAGTTGGCGGAGGTTGAGAAGGGGCTTTGGAAGAAGATTAATGATGTTCATGATTAGGTGGATGGACTATGGGTTGGGCTTATTGGGGGGTTAGATTGGTGTTTGGTTGTTTCATTATTGGTTTCCTGAGGATTTGCATGCGGTGGGTTGGGATTGTTGTGTATCAGGTAGAATATTTGAGGTATGAGGGAGTAACAAATTGGGTTATGGACTAGAGGTTTGTACTTTATTAGGAGTTTGGTTCCAACGATATTTTTAATCGCAATATCTTGGTTGAACTTGGATATTGAAGATAATGGTAGTTCAGGAGTATAACGTAGTTCTGCCTATTTTATGCTTCCTGGTAAATCTCTGATATTTGAACTCACAAGATGAGAATTGTGTATCCATCACACATCTAAGACAGTGTGGATTCTTCAGACGAGTATCGAGACATACAATGGAAAATTGAGTTTACAAGCGAAATGACAAGATGTTCACTAAACCGCGCAGGATTTGCGACGGGTTAAGTTTTTTTTTAAAAAACTAGGTGGGTGACTGCATATGTACTTCCATCCTATCCTCGGCTGAAGCGTTAAGCATCCAGCCTCAAAAAGTGAAGCCGAAACCCCCGAGGTAATGCAAGGATGTTCAACCTGCAATGTACAACAGACTATGCGTAGAGCACAAAAAGAGAAACAAAAACAAATAGAGAGACAGAGAGAGAGGAAGAAGACAACTTCTCAGTTGGATCAGTGAAGATGACTGAGATTCCATACAAGTTAGAGGGACCAGTGCAATCAATGAAGACGACCAGAACCTCGTTCCAGATGGCTGAGATCTTCCAAGAAGGATTGGGGAGTGCTTGGAAAAGAAAACCCATAAAAAAAAGAGACAAAGTAGAGTATTAGAAAAGTCCGAAGTATGAAGAAAGAAACACAAGGTCTTGTAGCAGTGGTAGCTAACTCGACCTAATGCAAAGATAAACGCCAGAATGAGTAAGTCACAGATAATAGTACTGTGAGCCAACCCATGTAAAAAGTAAAGAGAGCGGAGAAGAGAAGGGGTATTTGGAGTTGTCATAGTGGTAGCAGCGACGGGACGGACTGCTACCCTGAATCGTCATGACAAGTTGTTTCGTATCAGGCATAAGAGAAAAGTGAAAACTTGAACGCCATCTTGGAAACCCAATACCATAAAGGTCCAACCCAACGCCCATCAATCGAGGTAGTTGCACTGCAAAGCTAGCCAAATTTCCTGACTTTGGATTTTTTTTTCTGGACGAATTGTTGAAAAACCACGGCACGCCAAAAGCGGTCCAGACCAGCTTCGACGACCTTGAATAATGAAAAGAAAAAAAAGTGTATCGCGAAAAGAGTTGAAGGAAATGAACGCCGGTCATGATGAAGGTGGGGCATTACATGGAACCCAGACAGAGGAGCGCCTCCACAGCGGCGCGTTCCTGGATGTCGAAGGTGCGGGGTGGAAATTCAGCCACAGATGGACAGGTGGCGGGGAAAATCCCAGAAGGCTGAGGCTTAGCTCGCGCAGCGACGTGGCTGTTGATAAAACTGCCATTATTGTTCATCGAACGGGCGCGCAGAGCGTCGGCGCCGATTTGGGCCCAGTCCTCCTCATCGGTATCATCACCCTCAACCCACTCATTCTCTTGCATTTCGTCGGGAGCCTCCGAGGAAGAACAGTACTCGCCGTCGTCGCCATCGAGAGACATCTTGTCGGCCTCGTGTTCCAGCATGTCAAGGTCCCCGTGCATGCCATAATCGTCGGTGTACGAGAATGCCGTGGATTCGGCAAAGCTCATGCGGTATGGATGACGGTTGCCACCCTGCCAGCCCGACTGACCCTGAATCTGTACGCCACGCTGCTGGAACGAACCGGCGACACTTGAGGGAGGCGACGACGAAGCGTTCAAATCATGATCGCGAGCAGGTTCACCACGACGTCGCGCGTCCCAGCGACCCCAACCAATCTTCTCAAACACCACGTCGCCATAGATACCACCTGACTCTCCTCCATTTCCTCGACCTTCCAACGCCGCGACAACCAGTCTGCGCGCCTTGGCTGGGGGAATATGCGAAAAGCCAGGAACGGAAGTTGTCAGATGACCCATAACGTGGCGGATAGCCAAGGGGCCCTGCTGGAGCAAGATCTCAGGGAGATGATACTTGGAGAGCATGGCAGGGGTGATCGCGCCGGTACTGTCGAGGTCGTCGACAGGCTGGGGGACGTGATGACCGTTGTCGTGTTCCGCATCCTGGAGATCGATATCGGAGTCCAACTGGGGGACAGTCGATAGCGGGGACCCAGGCGACAGTGTCACTCGGTGCTTGAAGGTCTGAGGAGGGAGAGTCGGGGAAATCGAGTTGGGTGGCGTGGGCAACATCGCAGGTTGTCCGGATCGCGTAGACACACGGCCACCGCTCAGGCCAGAACGGCGCTGAGGGATATCAACCGAGGCAGTCTTGCCAGCAAGAGCCATTGCAATGCTGGAGTTTGTCTGGAAAGTCATGATGGACAGAGTATGGATTTGTGAAAGGAGAAGAACCTAGAGCGCGCAAACCGGGGGATATGAGTCAGAAAACCTTCCAAGACGCGACAAAGAAGTACCAGGGATCGAGTGGCAACAGAATCGTCTCAAAGTGAAAGAATGAAAAAACATGAAAAACAAGATAACTCACCTTTCACACACAGTGACAAAGAGACACTGTAGCCGTGTAGCGACGAAGTTGGGGTCGACTGTTTAGGGCTATTCCACGCAGGGGCGACGCGGCAAGGGGACGATAGTCGCGATAAGAGCAGATTCCAGGGCAAAGAGATCGAAGTTATGGAAGAGGTGTGTGAAGAAGAGAAGAAGATGAGTTGGAGGGGTACAAGGCCCGATTGCCCTGGAAGTGACTTACACCTTTGTACTTAGGAAGGGCCCAAGGGTAAATCGGTCCAGGAAAGCGCGTGGGTGGATTGATTGGCGCCTCGTGGGACACCGGGTGCTTCCGGCTCTCTCTTCACTATTATCACTATTACTATACTATTATAACTATTATCACTATTATAACGACATTATTACTGAGTTTTCTTTTCTTTTTTTTCTAAGAAAAAGTACATTATTAATATGAATGTACATTCTACACCATTTACTATACCTATTTTTTGTAAAAAAAACTACATGTTCATCTTGTTCCTGTCTTTCATACACTAAATATCCCTGAGTCGATCTAAGTTCCCTGTATTTCGTAACCCCCACTAGTCAAAGGTGAGTAATAGAAAGAGAGAAAAACCCCTCATGCCAAGTTGTTATCGGCCAGTCATGGTGATTGGAAGTGCTCGTGCGCCTTTAATGAACGCTTGCAGCGCTCCAGGGCGTAACCCTATTTTCTCCTATCATCGGCTGATAACCATCGTTAAGGGCACGTGGACCAATTTAAGAACATCTTTTGTATCTAAATGATAGATAGATATATATATACATGTAGATGTCATTCTGATTCTACATCTGACGATGTGATCTAGAATCTCCCTACAAAGAGTAGAGCCCTTACATCAGCTCCATTTGTACAACACACAAGGGCAACTCCGTAAGTACCAGGTACCTCCACTTTCTCTCGGGTCCCCACTACAATCTGGGCTCTGGCTTTGACGTCACTTGTACCGGTGACGATTCTGAGGCTTATGGCTTCTATTATTCCCTTTTATACTCGCTATAATCACTATATATACATGTAAAAGATGCACTTGTATAAGCAATATACAACCATAATAATATAATAACCATAAATATGTGACAAACATTGAATCCTTGAAATCCCGAATATGGACAGCATATTCGCCTTATCTTGGAATGTGTAATCCTGCATACTATGCTTCCCTGGAAACCCAAGTCTCCATTGCCCCGAAGAATGCACCTAGTGCGGTCTATGTACGACATAGCCACTTGTGTACACTTGACTTGTGGGTTTATTATTTGGGGTCTGTGTTGGAATTTGTGGGATTACTCAATTTGGTCATTCCTTTTCCCCCTCTCCCATTGTGCGGGAAGGAGATGCGGGTGAGAAGCTAGCCCTGCATGTCATCTTCTATACCATTCTACAATTTCTATACAATTCTATACAATCCTAACCCCTCAACAGTGCTGCAGCTGAGGGTTTTACTTGCCCGATTGTTGATCTCCGAATCTGTACCTTAATCTGTTCTTGGTACTCCGAACACTGTTCTACCCCTGTTGGGAATCAACTTGATTCTGATACTACATTTTAGTCATGCTTTGCCTAAGATTGCCTCATCTAGGTATGTAATCAGACAATATTTAGTCAATCTGACTCAGAGTAAAAGTGATAGGCCTCAGCTGCCGATGGTCATTTGACTCTGCGCCGTATATTCTATCTATAGTTTCCTATCTCGGATTTCAAAGTTTGGACCTTGTATCTCACTCATTCTCAATTATTTCTTAATGCCCTCCTTTCTGACCACAGCTTTAAATCAAAAGACCCCTCACTCAGGTCGCGCATATTTCCCACAAAAAGAAACGTGTAGCCCTCTGCCTGTGTTGGAGATTCGGAATCCATATACCGAATTGAGCAAGCAACAGTAGTATAGCTAGGTCCCTCATACGCCGCTAGTTTTTCCGCGTCCTCAATTGTCGGTACCTCGTACACAGCCCCTGCCACAGTATCCCTAGGATCACCAGAGAGTAAGGCTGGGTAGTGTCCCCAAAGTTTACACTTATAACCCTCAATATATGCGGGTCGTAGGTGGGAGGCACGTTTTAGGTCTAATAGATCTATGAGAAGACTTTGGTCTTGAAGTGAGCCGTAGAAGAAATATGGACCTGTTGGAGTAGGGCCTTCATTTTGAGGTCGGGGGACTTGGGATTGAAAGAAGTGACTGGGAGATGTGCTTCGCATCTTTAGGACTGTGGGCGATATCTTTGACCGAGGGTTCTCTGGGGGAGGTGGGGGTGGAGGTGGCAGCCTACCCCTTGGTTGCATTGAGTCGGCCATGACTGTGCTAGTATAAAGAACCGAAAATATTGGGCGCTGTATCTTCTCAGTTGTGGGATGATGTTACGCTCATTGAAAGCTTTGTGGGGAAAATCCCTGCCGGTGCGGGGTGCTCTAGATGCTTTCACTCTGTACACCGCATTGTTTTGCTATGATTTTAGACAATACTATTGCATTATCACACAAAAATTATAATGAGAGATAGAACAAGCTTTATTTCCTATTAAACATGATGTCAAACTCTTATGATCGGATAATTGGGCCATCTTCACCTGTTTTATCAAGGTGATGTTCCCGACGCGGGGTTTCAAATGCCTAAATAATTAGACAATTAGCCAGAAGGAAATTCGTTAAATAGGAGTATGGGATATTTTCTGGTTATTTAGGGGTTTTCTTCGAGTCATCGCATATCTGACAATGGTCTACTACGGCTTTGCATTTTTCTGTTTAGCAACCATTGCAAACGCAGCAGTGAGCCCCAAGTCCCTAAACTCTGATATTTCTATTGTTATTCACAATGATCTGCTAGGTATACATATCCCCTGAGATTGGAATCTAAATTGGAATCTAAAATCAATGACTGATTATCGAAATAGAAGCCGAAAGTCCTTTATCGGGTTCAGGGATCCTGGTGCTCGATGCGAGACCATGGCAAGAAGCCACTGAAAGCTGTCAAAAACTTGGAGGGACGCTCTGGGGGACTGAGTCTAGTTACAGAGATATTCGAAACGGCTTGGACTATCTTGTATTCCAAGGCAAGTACACTCGCAGTCAACGTTTTTGGACTGCCTCGGACCATCGCAAACTGTCGACCATCGACACAAATGGTCGGGTCAATAAAGCCTCTGCAAAAGAAAAACTGCCCGTTCTTTGTACACAAAGTGCTCCTTTATCCAACAGTACATTTCAGGATATAAGTGCTCAATGGCAGGTGACTGTCCACTCTAACGATGAGTATCTCACTGGGTACGTAGGAACTGGTAGTTCTTGCAATCTATCCTAACAAAACATAGATTCAGAGATCGATTCAGTTTTCGCTTCCTGGGAATTCGCTATGCTAAAAAGCCCCGACGATGGGACTATGCCAAATCATATAGAGGGACTGGCAAAAAAGCTTCTGCTCTCAACTATGGCTCTGACTGTACACAAGGCACAACTGGTTCAGAAGACTGCCTGTTTCTTAATGTGTGGACTCCCTATCTTCCTAAGAGCAATAAAGTCAGAAAGAGCTACCTCAAACCTGTGATGCTTTGGATTCACGGCGGAGCTTTCATTGGCGGTACTGGCAGTGACCCGACATTCGACGGCAGCAATCTAGCCTCGAGAGGCGATGTTGTGGTTGTCACAATAAACTATCGTGTGGGAACATTGGGATTCCTCGCCCTAGATGATGGCAAGACCAACGGAAATTACGGATTGGCAGACCAGACCACGGCGCTGGAGTGGGTTCGTCGAAACATTCAGGACTTCGGGGGCGATCCGGACAGGGTGACAATCTTCGGCCAATCAGCCGGTGCAGCGTCAGTACGGGCACTGCTTGCTTCTCCTGTAGCACAAGATAAATTCGCTGGTGCAATCATGCAGAGCAACCTTGGCGGCTTGGCTTATGGCACAACCTTCTCGAAATACTATACTATCGCGCAAGAGATGGATGTTGTGGGGAATGCTATTCTCAACGAGACAAAATGCACAGATGCTGCTTCACCAGTCGAGTGTTTGAGAAAACTCCCCGCGTCAACGATTGCAAATCTCGCCGACTCAGCGCGGTATCTGGTTGTTGACGGCGTCTACCTCCAGATCTCAGAGCTGGATTTAACAAACCCAGCATCAACTGCCAATGTGCCTTTGATGATCGGTATGATGAGAGACGATGACGCTGCCATACTCGGCTATCCTAGAGTGGGAGAAACTCTGAAGTCCTTCCTCAATGAATCTGATCTGCCTGACTCAGTTGTACCAAGCCAGCTATTCCCTGTGCCATCAACCGCCAACGCTACACTCGATATCTTCAACACATCCTCTCGCATAGCCACAGATGCAATATTCCGCTGCATCAATAAAGCAACTGCACATACAGGCTCAAGGAACCACATATTCCCCGATATCTTCTACTACGAGTTCAACCGTTCATACCAAATGCCAAGCTGGTCACCGAATGCCCCGGTGTGCAACGCTCCCATCACAGATGAGTTCCCAAATGGTGACCCTAGCCAGGAGTACTTTAAATGCCATTCCGGTGAGCTGTTCTACGTGTTTGGGAGTTTCCGTCGCCAGGGATTGCCGTTCCGGGATGAGTTGGATTTACCCTTTGGGCAGTATGTACTGGATTCTTGGGCGAGTTTTGCGAGGGTGGCTAGGCCTACTCCTGACTTGGCCTTTTTGAAGGCAAGAGGATATTACAATACAACTCGGGAGATTGAGGCAAATGGGCCATGGGAGTCATTTCGTAAAGAAAGTCAGCTTCGGCTGCTTCAGTGGCCGTCAGGGATGAGGGATTTGGATGAATTGGAGCAATGCCGTGCATTAAAATTGCCTTTGAATTACTTTGATTCCTAGGATCAGATAAAATGCACCAGTGTTTTGACTACAGAAAAGGGCTCTGCATCTCCTAGCTCCGTTGATTCGATATGACTAAGGCCATAGATGGATTTGATATGAACAGTGTGCGTACCTGGATCTATTCTACACACAAAACCTAATTTTTTTTTTTCATTTGAAGTTTCCATAGAGAGGACATAAAAGCCTTCTTGATCTTTTTGTTTGGGGGGTTTTTCTCATTGGCAGTCTCGTTTCAAGAGTCACTTTAACTCCTTTCCCCAGTCTCCCTAACTTCAATGTCTCTGTAGTGTTTTTGATGGTTCAAGCATGATGTTTGTAGATACAAACCCTTTGTGTGGTCTCTTTATTATGTAGACAGCTCTTTGTATTGAGTATCCTGAGTAGTCTCTTGAATTTATATTTGCTGCGGCATAAGAACCACGAAGGTCCGGCTCGATATGAAGACTCAAACTACTTGATCTCATCTTGATCTGCCTTCAGTGCACTCATTGCTTACTATATATATCTTACACAGCTCATATCTGTCTTTCAGCATGCCTGGAAAAGGAACCAATATGGCTCGTGTTAAGAAGAGCAAGATTACTCCAACGGAATATCTGGATGGTATTAAGGCAGATTCTTTGATATGCCCTTGGAACACAGGTGATTGGAAGAAAGCTCACGGCGATGGTAAGGCGGGCACTCTTGGCGCTTATAGAATGAGTAGCATGAAGACGAGCACTGAGTTACGAGAGTACCAGGTTCAGATTCTGTACCTAAAGAAGCCTATGTTAAGCTTCACCTTGCCGGGAACCCTAGACAAGGATGGTTCGACTAATCCTCCTACCTCCCAGGAGGTTATTGATACCCTGAAAACTGAACTCAGCAAGAACGGAAAGTAGAACAACCATACTCACAGAATTTTGACTAAAGAGATCTTCCTCAAGATTCACCGTTGTGTTCTTGCAACCAGTCTTGGGATTCACCTTCAATCTTGAGTGTGTTAGATCGATCAGATATTTTTCTTTACTCTCTCCTTGATTTCTACTGATTCTAGTATTTTGTTTTGATAGAATGTTGCTGTTCTATTTGTTTCTCGTCCCTTTGTTTGATTTTACCCTTATATCAACTCAAACTTTGCTCTGTTAGCTCCATCATGGACAATATATTATTTCAGCTCTGAAGCACAATTGTAGATATAAAGTCTCCATTTTCTTTTTCTGTTGTTAACTTTGGAGGTTGAATTCTTAATACACAAAGCTGATAGTGCTATTAGTAAGTTTAAGTAGATCAATGCCTTTTGGCTTCTGGGTTCCTTGGGCTTTTTTGCCTTTCAATGTCTCAGTCTATCCCCCTCCCCCATGGTATAGCATTTAGTTCCAAGGCTAGAAAGTCCAATGAAAAAGAAGATCAATGTTAGAGATATTCACATATAGATGTTGAATTCAAAGATTCTTTATTCTCCCTGGGTCATGTATCGTGGGAAGTAATTGGACTGACAGTTGGAGCGGCATTCCGCATGAAAGAAACCTTTCCGTCCGTTTCCCCTTGTGCTTTGCCCCTCTATTTTTGGCATCTTTTTGGCTCTTTGTATAGTAGTTAAATATTTGTACCGTTTGTGGGCTCTCTTTTCAGTCATTATTGTTTTCACTTCTGTTGTACTTTCAGTCCCTTCTTGGCCAACACTCTGACCAAGCCTATTTTCACCTTTATGGAGCTTTGTGCGTTCTTCATCTTATGATGGAAGAAGACGCTAAGAGGATAGATGAAGTAACTGAGTAAGTGACCCCTGGTTTTTGATGCTTGTGAATCTATTCTAACAGCTTCAGATGTCCATATGTGGTCGGCAACAAGATTACGCTGCAGCTGGAGGGTCGCCCAGTTCAAGCTACAATCGTGAAAACCTTTGAACCCTGGACTCAATCATGCGCCATGGTTCTTTCATTTGATTCCGACCTCTCTGCTATAGGGATTGAGGGAAATGTGGTCTTGAAGATCTATGACCGACGGTTTTCAACGGAACTACGAAGTCTCTGGAAAAGGGCCGGCCCTTGGACCCCAGAAATCGAGAGAGATCTTTACAAGCTTCTTTGCTCGGATGAAGGAATGGAGTTTGCAATTGAATACGAAAGGTCTTGCATAAAGGAAAGAGAAGAAGAACACGGGTTTATACCAACGATCATAGAGGAAGATACCAGTGAAGAACAGGACCAACAGAACACCCATGAGCAGGAAGGCACCAATAAAAGCGACAGCACCAATGGGAATGGCAATGCCAAGTCCAAAGGGACCCTCTCCATATTCTCCATGCTCTCGATCAAGCTCTTCTCTCCTCTCTTCCATGGATGCAAGATTGTTTTCCGTGGTCTATCCTGCGCCATCCGCTTTTTTGGTACTCAAGCTACCGCGATCCTTTTCTGAGGAGGCCATAAGATCATTGATGTTGAAAACCAAACGACCAATAGGTGTGATGAAGCCAGCGGAAATAATCCTATCAACAAATACCATAGAACAACTGGGGAACAGCAGACCAACAATCTCGAAGCAGTGGTTGAGGACCCGGAGGAATCTGAAAATGAAGAAGAGGAGTGGGATCGCACATGTGAAGAGGTAGATACATATGTTGCCAAGCAGATTCTTTATGAAGCAGAAATCAGAGCATACGAGACGATGAAAGATCTGCAAGGTATCTACGTCCCTCGAATTTTTGCACATACGAAAATGCTGGGGCCAAAATATACCCAAGATCAGCCCTTCAGTCGGTATTTCGAACACCCTGGAATTCTTATGGAATACATTGAAGGATTCCCTCTGCACGAGCTCCCGGAAAATGCCCCAAGGAAAGCATGGCATCCCATCGTTGACAAAGCTATTGAGATTGTCAACAATATCATGCGCCATGGGGTCCTCAATGACGATACGAATGTAAGGTGCTTTATTGTGCAACCTGATCCAGCCAACGATTCCGATTCTGAATACAGGTTTAAATTGGCTATGATTGACTTTGGTCATACCAGATTGCGTAGCCAATACCCGCCAGAAGAGGACTGGCGATCGTGGGAAGCACTTAATGATGCAGAGGGTGCTATCGGAGTAATAATGAATTGGAAATTGGGCGAGATATGTGAAGGAGCATATGTCTACACACGAACTCCCTATAGCAAAGCGCTTCAATATGATTACATGAGGGAAGAGTGTTCCGATAGAATATAGAAAAAAAAAATTAGGGAAGGTCTTAGGCCATCCAACACTGTTGAAGACTGATGCTATGAGTTGGGAATATTTGCATGTTTCTTTTCTCTCTCTCTCCATAATTGTTCTTTCTCTTTCCCTTCTTCTTAGCTAGGAACGATCTGTGGTCCTTTTCCAGCATCCAGCAAATAAGTTTCTTGCATTCTGATATTATTTAAAAAGAAAATCAATATATCCAATACATCAGGCAAAGTTGTCGAAGTAAACGCATTGTACTAAAAGCACTTCTTTTTTTGTTTGGTTTTTTGTTTGGTTTACAAGATACGGAATATATCGAATCCATCAATGTGGCAGTGACTCGAATTTACTGACTATCCACGATATCCACAAGTACCTTGATTTTAAAGAAATTTCTCAATGGGTGACTAGCGAGGCTCATATTTGTCGGTATGTCCACTTCCGATGCCATTCCGAAGTACAACGTCCAGCTTCGAGTGCTACATATGCAGACTGTACCATATATTTTCTCAGATTTAGCAGGGCATCGCATATATCAGTATCTAATCCTGGTATAAGTCTAATAATATAATACCAATTGGTTCATATAAGAAGATAGAAAGAAAAACATCGATTTCGTTCTCAACAAGATCGGATGCGGTCCCTTCCGATTTCCCCCCTCATGATGAATAGACATATCCTGCAAGAACTCTCTAGCTTCTCATTATTTTTTTTCCAGCTTGCAAATATTTCTCCTTAACTCAGAAAAGTATGTCTTATCAAATCGCCTACGACACTACCCGCGCACCACCCCGCAGTGCCGCGCTGGTCGCATTCATGGAAGACTTCTACCGCACCAGCGACACCGAATCCCTGCACGAGAAATACGTGCAAAGCTTCACTGAAGATGCGACACTCATTATGGGACCAAAAGAGGCTAAGGGCGCAAGTGGTATGGTGCTATCCGATTCCCGCCCTTAACATCACTGAAGCTATACAGCCGATCCCGGTTTCTATTTCAACGCAGGCAGAATATATACCTCTGGATTGGTTTGTACTCCAGCTAATAAAATCAATTTCATAACAGAAATCCTCACCCTCCGCCATGGTCTCTGGACACACGTTGTCTCACGCCAACACGTGCCGACACGGATCTACTTCGGCGGCGACGATGAGATCATGTTGTATGGTGGCGTGAACTATAGACTCAAGACTAACCCCGATAATGATGTTTATGTGCCTTGGGCTGGACGTGTTGTGTTCGCGCCCCAGAAGAGGGACGAGGATATCAAGATGCAGTTCTATCAGGTTTACTTGGTGAGTACATCCTTATGTTGCTAGCTGTCAGTGGTGTTTGCGATGCTGATTGATTATCTTTTAGGATACCGCGGCTCAGTCGGGAAAGAAATGAAGTAGACTGGAATGCGAACATTGAACTTGTGGTGTACATATATACTAAAAATAAGAGTTGCATGAATTCAATAGCAATGATTGGATATAAATTGGGCTTCGAGAGAATGTTGATCTATATAACGTTCAAAGCTGAAGATCTGAAGGTGGCTAGATGATACCAGACGTCTACACCTACATCTACAACACAGAGAGAGAGAGAGGACAGAACAGTTTTGAAGTGTTTAGACATGCTCTTTATTTCCAGGAGACCACGAGAGAAAAAAGGGACAAAGACGCCGTAGGGTTGATCGGGGTCAAAGAGGTGAGGGAGATCATAAAAACATGTCAAAGGGAAAAAAGATCCCCTCTCCTCGACAAGAAAGAGAGGGGAAGGATTGTGTAGAACGTCTCGTCCGCTCTCTTCTCTCGTTCAAGTCTCCGGATAATGATGCCTCATCCTCATGCACTCTGCACCGCCCATATCTCTCTCCGCTAGTAGCCCCGTCTGGTCGTCAGAAAAAAAAATATGGATTGGAACAAGAAAAAAGAAACAAACGTAAAGTCACGCACGGGACCGCAAGCTCCGAATTTTATTTTTGTGCCGTCATTTCCAATATCTTGCCGCCGTAGCGAAGACAAAACCACAAAAACAAACGACTTATCCCCGAACTATTAAAAGCCCATCGTTGCGATACGTTTATTCCTCATCAGACTCCTCCTCCTCATCGACGGTGGTCTTGGCAATACGGTCCAAATCACGCTGGCCGCTCTGGGTGATGCGACGGCCACCTTTGTCCTCATCAATCTCGAGGACACCGATCTTCTCAAGAGCCTGGAGGGCCTTGCGGTCAACGGAGCCGGAGGCATCAACGTGGTGGGCGGGGCGGGCACCACGGTTCTTGGTGGAACCGTGGACCTTGCGAAGACGGCCGACACCGACGGTCTTGCGCATGTAGATGTGACGGGCACAGGCGGCGGCGCGGACGTAGAACCTTTAGCAAAAAGCAAGAATGTCAATTAGGTGTTCGAATTTTGGTGGCTTAATATTTGATGCGGTCGTACCAGTCAGCATCCTGGGGAGGAAGCTCGTTGGAAGCAGAGGTCTTGACAGTGTCAACCCATCCGGGGATGGGGAGCTTGCCCTGACGCTTCAGGAAAGCAGAGTAGGCAGAGATGAACTTCTGCGCCTGTGTGGGGAGAAAAATTATATGTTAGTAGTGGTTCATCAGGATATGCATGGACCGGTCAAAGTCTGTGGATTTGCAGATGCGGCGGATTCGTTTCTGGAAGCAATTCATCGTTCGTCGGAGTTTCCGCTTGCATGCAGTCGTTGTGTTGAGTATTCGCTTTCTCAGAAAGCGAATACCGATAGATCTGTCGATCTATCAAAAATTCGCCCCTCAAAACATGCATGCACATCCTTCAGTATTCGACATATTTCCCGTAGGCAATGAAACCATTCGCCTAGTGCGTGTGTAATCCGTGCAAAGCATTTCCATCCTGGCGATATGATCCGACCGATGTTGTGGTATCCGTGCATCCAGAAACGAACCGTCCACATCACGCAAACCAGAGCTGGTGACCGATCACCTAAAAATCGAGCAGGACACTTACGTCCACATCGCGAACGGTAACACCACCCATTTTGGCGACTTGTCGAGGGGTCGAAGGGTAGGGATTAGAGAGAGAGAGGCGTTGGGCGTCGAGGTGGGCAGGGTCGAAGTCGAAGAGTCGCTCAAAATTTCAAGACACACACAACTCTGGGCGGGTTGGGTCTGTGTGCCGTTCGCTTGTCCATTTTGGGTTAGCCGTACCCTAAGCTGGGTCATGTGATATACACCAATTTTGCCTGACGTCTCAGGCTCCACTTGACACCCATTGATGCCTGATACTCTAGGCATTAATCGTTTGACAGAAAATCTGCGGAGGAACTAATGGATGGATGTTATTTGAAGGCTCATTCTCTCATGTTCTAATTATACACAAATTAATATCTATTTCATAACGGTTTTCATGATTCGTAACTTTGAAACAATTAAACGATGTACCCGTTCCCTAATGCCTTGATCCATATGTAGTCTTCGCCCCAGTTGCAAAACGCCTGAATTATTCCCAATTACAATGTGGGTGCTCTCTTCAGTCCAACGCAATATCTCACAAATAGAGTGTCAATGAAGTGGCCATGTCGGATACCGGGAGGTCGACACCGGTTGAACTCGTCAATGGCATCTTGCACACCAAAACCAAGATGCTCGATCAAATAGCAACAAATCAAAAACCCGGTACGGTTGTAGCCATAGTGACAGTGAACTCCGACCACTGGACGTGGTAGAGACTTCTCTTCATCTGTACGCTGCTCCATATTCTCATCGATCTCCTTTTGTAGTTTATTGACCAGAGCGATAAAGTCGCGTGCCTCGTCTGGAGTTGGAGGAATCTTGGATATAGTCGGGTGCTTGTAGTAGTGGATTCCACCCTTCTCCATTTCGACCGGGTTATAGACCGGACTTTCATGACTAATGTCTATGACAGCATGGATGCGGCCGCGGTATTTTGCCGAGAAAGCCACAGGGTTGTGTTCCTCGTCAACCTCGCGCAACATCTTGAGCGCGACAAATGTGTTGGCAATCCGTTCCGAGACTGGGGCAACTTTCTTCCATTTGGCAAGATTCTTGACATCCCACTTTCCAGATGTGTTCATGTGCTGCAATTGCCAGCCCAGACCGAGACGCTTGTCGATATTTGATGAGAGAAAATCTTGGATAATCCCTGCAAGCGTGCGATAGGTCGCCCGGTCGTACAGCAGTGCGTGAGATGCGGGCGCCGGCAAAATTGCCGACTTGACCACTCGCTTTCGCTGGCCAACCTCCAGGTGCTTCTCGAAGATCTGCACGCCAAACACCTTCTCGTTGACGATATCGCCGGCTGGAGTCGACATCTGGTCATGGACTCGTGAAGCATCCGGGATGATGCTGCTATCGCTGGTATCAATCGTGGTATGGGCTGAAGCATCACCAAAGAATTTCAAAATCTTCTGCACCTCTACTGGTTTGGTCACAGCATCCATCTCTCCCGCGATCAACAGAACTGGCATGCGAATACCCGCCCAGACCTGTTGACCTGGGAGTCCACCAATCGGGTGGTCCTCATTATCGTAGGTGGGAAGTGTGCCCCACGCCATGCGTCGCCAAACAGGCGTCCGACTTTGTTTGTTGAAGCGCACCTGGAGATTCCGCGTTTCCACGTCGGCAGCGACGCCGACCATTCGCCTAACACTGGGACTTTGCTCGCCTCCACGTCTGTCCCAGCGACGCCAAAGATCGAAAAGTAGACTAGGAACATAGAGCGCTCGGCGAAACTTGGTAGTGTCTTGCGCAGATGGGGGTGAGGCTCGAGGACACACAGCAACAAGGCCAATTATGTGCTCTTTCACCTTTGCACCAACTGAAGACGCCGATGAAGCTAGAAGGGCGGACAAGGAACATCCGAGACTGTGTCCGACTAGAATTATTTCCTGGCCAGACTCCCGGTCCCGGTGCTGATCAATGGCTTCGGCCAATAATTCGGACAGAGCCTCCACAGTGTATGCATTCCAATCCGTAGGTTCAAACTTTGACAGTCCACATCCGGGCAAATCAATACCAAAGCATGAGCTGACATTAGACAGACTGGTTAGAAGGTGGTGGAATTGTGCAAGGGACCCGCCTAGCCCATGAACAACCACAATCAGTGGGACAGGAGTCGGTTTGGTCGGGAGTCGAGCGAGGTGTGGATGTGGGCTGTAAAAGGTGCGAATGGCGGGATAGGTAGCTACCGAAGTAGTGTAAGAGTTGTATGTGGTGAATTTCCGGAGAATGCCTGGGTCCGTTTCGTATGCTGCGCGAACGTTAAAATCAAGGTCCTAAGTGAAAGACGAGCCGTTCACCCACCATCAGTGCTTTGCTGTTGAGTGTCCGACGGCCAATCTTTCGTCTTGTAGTTTGGATTGGTTCCATGTCGCAACGATGCGTTGCTATCGTAGTCTTCATCTTCATAATCATCCTCTTCCGAGGAGCTCAAAGTCTTCGAAGATTTGGTCGAGCTCTTACGAGCAGCAGGACGCTGCACACGAGAGGCCTTGGACCCTGGCTGCTTGCGTCTCACCAGCGAGGAAAACACCCCGCATCCAGTCATGGTGATCACACAGGTAGTTAAGAACACAACCTGACCCCAATTCACATTGTCATTGCGATGGAGGTCGCGGAAAGCGCTGGCGACGGAGGAGAGCGATGTGTTTTGGGCGGCTGTGCGCACTGAGTGAAAGAGTCGCAGGACAGCCGCGACACTTGATGGGTTGGATTCAGACGTCAACGAGTCGTAGAGGGCGGAGGTAGCGTCTGACCCCATGATTAAGTACCAGAGGGGCGATCTGGGCTTTTTCAGGGCCCCCCGATAGGGATTATGCCAAGAACCACGCGACGGCACGCCCGATGCTCTTTGGATATAGGGCAAATAACTTCGAGACCAATAAGGAAAGCTAGATCGACAACGTTGAAGCCTTTGAGTGGCAAGGATAAGAAAAAGTAGAGAGATTTAGTTTCGGCCACTCACAGCCTTGGGAGGAACAGCGTGGGGGTTGAGTCATCAATAGTCGGACTCCACTCCTACCGCCACAAATTTGGGAACCTCGGAAGGAACTTACTTGATTATGGCATTTACTATGGGAGGAGATGTACTTCTACAATATACACTATTAAGAGCATATTTTTAGTCTCCTTTTTCTCGATCTTGTATATATTCCCTGCTTTCTTATTGCCCCTGATGATGTACTATGCGCACTACAACATATGTCCATGTGGTTCCCAAGGTGTTGGTATTAGACTCCATTTCTTAGTACCCCCGGGGCAAGCATGCGTGGCCTCTTATCTATTACTGGCCAATTTCAAGCGGGGCGACGAAGATCATATACTATCGAAATCCAATGTTTACACCTTTCTGGAACAAGATAGATCATAACATCATTTCAACTACCTCGAAATATGCTATACCTACTCCATATGTTGTATACATTTACACAATTAGGTGGCATATCATAATGATTTATCAAGAAGATCCATTAAAATAGATCCGTCATGGCTCCCTGTGATGCATCACTGACCAATCGTGCGTACTTGGCCAGCACACCACGAGTGATTTGCGGTGAAGGAGGGGTCCACTGACGTCGTCTCTCCTGAAGCTCCTCATCCGAGACATCCATGGAAAGCGAGTTGGTCTCTGCGTCAATAGTAACAATATCCCCATCACGGACGAGCGCAATCGGGCCACCCACGGCGGCTTCGGGCACAATGTGCCCGACAATGAAACCGTGGCTGGCACCCGAATACCGTCCGTCAGTAATAAGTGCCACGTTGGTCAACTTGGCTCCCATAAGCGCAGCACTGGCCTTGAGTTGTTCCGGCATTCCGGGCCCACCCTTAGGGCCCTCGTAACGCACGATGATCACGAGGTTCTCGCCCCGTGGGATGCGGCCTTCGTTCAGGGCGTCGTTGAGCCGGTGTTCCTTATCAAATACACGGGCCTTGCCAACGAATCGAAGCCCTTCCTTGCCAGTAATTTTGGCGACGGCACCGCCTGGTGCAAGGTTACCACGTAGGATCTGCAGGTGACCGGTTGCCTTGATTGGGTTGTCCAATGGGCGGATCAGATCCTGGCCCTCCGTTAGGGAGGGGAATGAAGCAACATTCTCGGCTAACGTCTTGCCTGTCACTGTGGGAATATCTCCATCAAGCAGACCGGCCGCGATCAGCAGCTTCTGCACAGATGGGACACCTCCGATCTCATACAGATCGGCCATATAGTACTTGCCACTAGGTGAGAGGTTGGCAATGAAGGGAATCTTGTTGCTGACACGCTGGATATCATCCAGCGTCAGGTCAACACCAGCAGTTCGAGCCATGGCCAGGAAATGGAGGACACCGTTAGTGCTACCGCCCAGCGCCATAGTCATGACGAGAGCATTTTCAAAGGACCGCTTGGTCAATAGGTCCCGTGGGCAAATGTTCTTCTCTAGGCAGACCTTGATAGCATCTGCAGCACGCACACACTCTCGCATCTTGGATGGCGATTCGGCAGGTGTGGACGATGAGCCAGGTAATGACAGACCCATTGACTCAATAGCAGTGGCCATAGTATTCGCCGTGAACATACCACCGCAGGCGCCAGCACCTGGGCAGGCATGCCGTTCCAAGTCATCCATGATTTCATCCTGAGTCTTGGTTTGATCACCACCGTCGTCGGGCTGGCGCAGGGTGCCGTAGGCGTAGGCACCCGCAGCCTCGAAGCATGTTGAGACATTGATAGGCTTCCGCAAGTGCTCGGAGTAGCCGATTCCAATAGTTCCACCGTAGATCATAATTGAGGGGCGGTTATGGCGAGCCATGCCCATTACGACACCGGGCATATTCTTATCGCAGCCCGGGATAGCAATACAGGCATCGTGGTATTGGGCACAAGTTACGGTCTCGACACTATCGGCAATGACCTCTCGAGTTTGAAGAGAGAATCTCATTCCTAGCGAGGGTTAGCTATCTCGTTTCCTAGCAGTGAGAGCTAATGGTCAAACGAACCTTCACTGCCCATGGTAATTGCATCCGAAACACCAATCGTGTTGTACTGCCACCCAAGCATTCCCTGTTCCAAAACTGACTTCTTGACAGTCTTGGCCAAGTCCATCAAGTGCATGTTGCATGGATTCCCTTCCCACCATACCGAAGCGATACCAACATGCGGGCTCTTTGCCATCGCTTCCTTATCTGGGACTCCGGCAGCGTAGAGCATAGCCTACAGCGGTCAGTAATGAAACTTAATATTTTCTCATTTTTAACTTACCCGTGCACCAGGGAAGTCATGGCCTTTGGTGATAGTGTGGGAGTGACGGTTGAGCGCGGGGGTGCCATCTGGGTGTTTCGCATCTGCAGGCAAAGAAGGGAAGTTGATATATTTAGCCTCACTAAGAGTGCTAGAAGTTGGCTTTGAGGAATCCATGATGATATGTCAGACGAAATAAAACCAACAAAGAAAGAGGTTATAGAGGCAATTGATCAGAATTATATCCCACAATCTCGGGAGCTTCGCACCGATGTCCGACCCCCAGAACCCCACGTTCAGGATTGTCCAGTTAGATACGGCCGATTTATGAGCAAGTCGGAGTTGGGCCTACTCCCCGGATCTACATTATATAAGGCTAGATCTCACCAAAAGTCTTTATATAGTAGTACTAACTACGTAACTACCTAGTTACCTAGGTACCTAACTAGTTAGTCAAGGCTGGGGTTACTAAAGTAAATTTGCTTGGTCACACCCGACCGCTTCCGTCCATAACTAGCATCGACGTCATACATATGATACCTATAAAAGCAATATTCAGGGCTTTTAGAGCTACTTCATTTCCATTCCGAATACCAGACAGAGTATCCATATAATGGCCACTGACGTGAGAATCGCTCAGGCAATAGGGACACTTGGCTGCGCACTGGCAGCAAGTAAGTAGCACTACGCAATCGATGGATAGACACTTACAGTATTCAAGGCGGCATTGCTACATTGTCAATAATGAGCATTCCCAATATCATTATTCCAGCTCGTCGTCCACCCGGAGCGACACTGCCATTCCAGGATACCCCAGAAACCCCGACCGCTCACTTGACACACCAGTGGTTGGATCTGTATACTCGTGGCAGCAAGATTTTCCCCGGTATATCCGCAGTATCTTCACTTGCAAACCTTTATGCGCTCTGGACATTGCAGAACTCTCCTACCCCTGGCCCGGATATTCTTGGTCTTGGGTCCAGCTGGTCCACATGCTATCTGCTTGCTGTTGGGGTTACGATGAGCATTGTACCTTTTACTCTTACGGCTATGAAGAAGACGAATGCCAAATTGAAGGCTCATGCAACACGTGGTGATGCGGCCGACGCCGAGGGTTCTGAGAGCATGGTGGTTAGTCCGCAGGAGAAGGCCAAGCAAGCCAGGGAGGATAGCGAGGTGCTTGAACTTTTACAGCGTTGGTCGAAGTTGAACTTGATCAGAGCTACGCTTCCACTTATCGGGGCTGGTATTGGGTTCTATGCTGCGGTCTCCAGCTGGACAATTCCTTAAATAGGAATGCCAGAACTTGTGGCGTTTTGAATTTTTGCTGTTTGTTGAATTAGTTAGTTAGTTAACTAACTAGAAGGTTTCTTGTATGGTTATGTAAAAGGAAATTTCAATTTTCAAGTATGGGTATCGTCAAATTTCTATCAGGGTTGCAAGTCAAATATGTAATACGATTACCCAGGTAATTGTATATTCATAAACAGGTCGGGCAAGGGGAGGCCAGTAGGCACTTCCAAGGGTATCCGGAGTGTGAGGCGAGGCCTTAGTCCTCATCTTCGTTCGTACCTCTTGCGCCATTGTCCTCCGTAGACTCTTTCTCAATGGTAGACCATTGGTCTGAATGTTGCAGGGCTTCATCGGCGCTGATCTCTTGCAACGGGCTGGATTTGTCCAATGCGCCTTCTTGGTGAAGATCTGTCCCACGGGCCTCACTATCAGGTTCCCCGTCAATGGCAAAGCCAACAATCTTCCCAGTGCCAGGCTGCGACCGTGCCTCTTCTAGCACATCACCATTCCAAGGTTGGCATTTCTTAACATTTTCACCGCATCGGAGGCAAGTCCATCCCTGGCCTTCTTCCGCTTCGACTTTCTGCACAATACAGACGAAACAATAGATACAGCCACAGGGAATGGTCTCGTATGGATTTGTGATATCAGTTTGCGCCGATCCCGAAATACCACCCGATACAGAGGCCGCCATGGCATCGGCTTCTGTGGTTGCGGTCGGGTTCTGATCGCGGTAGCAGATAGCACAGGTCCGCTCAGGGAGGAAGGCCAGCTCTCCTTGTTTTTCGTAAACCTCGTCATCATCCCCGCTTGACCGTACAGACTTGACCATCTTGTGCCAGGCACGGGCGATCCATCGCCGCCAGCGCCCAATTCCAACAAGAGGAAGGAGGAAAAGAAGGAATTCGGTAAACGCATGCCAGACTAGTTGACGGTTTAGATACTCAAAGGATACTTCCCGGCTAGCCTGTGCAGACGGCGGAGTAAGGCGGATGCGAAGGATGCGATCAACCAAGGTACGGTATCGGCCATTAACTAGGAACACTAGGAAAGAGACGAAGGCGGCAATCGAGTGCGATGTCGAAATTATGTCTGTTAGTCGCGACAGCATTCGGATGTCCTGTGATGGCTTTATAGTATCCGTTAATAAAACATTGCCAAAAGAGAGATTTATGTCGGCAACTAACCTCGTCATAGCCACCTTCTTGTCCGACCAACCAGCTCTCCCACTTGTCCCAAGCATATCGCCCTCCAACCGTCAATAAGCCATAGACACCCTTCTGCAATTTCGTTGGAGAAGAGTAAACAGGTCCTTTGCTTCGGCTATCGGTGTATTTAAGGCCTTGTAGTGTCGCACCATACGATGCGTTGTGATCCCATATTGATAGTTTGAAAAGGATAGCCCGTAACGCGAACAGAATCTCATGTGACCAATCTTCGCGCATTTGAGGCTATTGTCATTGTCAGCCACCTTTCATCACAACACTCTAGAGACTCATCCACCAAGCATTGAGACATACACCAAAGTATTTGAGGGCATCCCCGACCTGGCCCTTCATCAGACCAAGCAGCTCCTCATCCAACAATTCAGCATCCACCTGGCCCACTCGAAATGAGGGGCGCGTACCATCCCGACCCTTGATAGAATTCCATATCCGCCACCCTGAGCTAGGTAATCGATTCAATGGATATGGAAGACGTTGGACGGCAGCCGGGCTAATCGGAGAGGCCCGCTGCTGTGCTGCATTGCGGGCGCGTGCTTCGGCTTCACGCTGGCGACGACGTTCAAGAACACGCTCTTGTGCGGCGGCGAAATTTGTTGAGCTCATCGCGAAATCATGACGTGTTTGTAGAGGATGGGAGGGAGCAAGTTGGGGAATCGTGAGAACACGGGGAAATGGGCCCCGGAGTTGCTCATGGCACTCGGTTCCCTAGACGGAAGAGCCGAGGTATCTATTTCACGTGACTATGATATTTCCAATGCTCTTATGGAGATTTTGAGTACTCGTGACAAAAACATATAAATTCTTAGCGATACAAGCAGGATTCTAATGTGTACTTGCGTAGGTATAACGCTGTGTTAGAAAGCATCGTGGTCGGTACGGCTCTCTCGGAGATACCCTTGACAAGAAGGGTTCCAGTCACTGAACTTGATCAAGGAATCCATGATCAAAAATTTATCACTTGACTCAATTGAGACCAGTGAGCTGGTAATGGAACTTGATTTCTGCCAGTTGGAATTGTTACGCAGATGTCTAGACAGCCAACATAAGCCATTTCAATTGATCTATGCAAGTCGGCTTTGTACATGCCCAATTTGTACGATTCGAACCACATTATCCAATGAAACCTATATTAACTATGGCGTCCACAGTGAATGAAACTATCGAAACTCGGCTGTTCATTAACGGCGAAGTATGGATCTACTACATTTAGTACCCTGGGACTGCTATAAACCATGCTTCTTTATACTGACATTTCTAGTTCCGAGAATCGTCTATTAGAAAAACATTTGAGGTTGTATATCCATACACCAAAGAGGTCGTTGCGCAAGGTGTGTCCCCTTCTCCGCAAAAGCCAACATACTGCTAACACCTACTCTCCTACCAAAGTTCAAGAAGCCGACATACAAGACATAGAAGATGCAGTTACTGCTGCCAACGCGGCTTTTCCCGCCTGGTGAGATCTGGGCACCGACAAGCGTGGCGCATAGCTGCGCAACCTATCCCAGCTCATCCTGGAATCAAACAATGAGCTGGCGAAGTTCGAGACACTCTCCACCGGCCGACCAATCTCGCATTTTATTGACGCCAGTATAGCAGCCGAGTTCTCCGGATACTTCGCTGGAGGTGGTTGGACCGCGCAGGGAACGGCCAGCCTCAACACACCGGACCACCTAAACCTAACCGTCAAGCAGCCATATGGCGTAGTAGCACTTATCATCCCGTGGAACTTCCCGCTCATCATGTTTGCCGGGAAAGTGGCACCCGCACTGGCGGCAGGCAATACAGTTGTATTGAAGAGCAGTGAGAAGGCACCGTTGACGGTTTGTGCAATATCTTTTGTGTATCACTGTGACCATGCGAACTGACACTCAGCATAGTCTCTCTATGTAGCCAAGCTAATTGAGAAAGCCGGCTTCCCACCCGGAGTTATCAACGTCATCTCTGGCTTCGGCAACCCTACCGGGGCGGCTTTGGCATCGCACATGGCCGTCCGCTGTATCAGCTTCACTGGTTCCACGGCGACGGGCCAGAAGATCCAGGCGGCAGCTGCAAAGTCAAACATGAAGCACGTGCATATGGAGCTGGGCGGGAAGTCACCGGCAATTATCTTCGAAGACGCGGATCTGGAGACAGCTGTTGCGCAGACACAATTCAGCATTCAGTTTAGTAGCGGACAAGTGTGCGCGGCGAACTCACGAATCTATGTGCACGAGTCAGTGGCTAAACAATTCATTAAACTATTCCGCGAGAAGCTTGCTGCTGTCTGGATGGGCGATCCACTTGACCCTGCCACCTCGCATGGCCCGCAGATTGATCTGCTGCAGTATAACCGGATCAAGGAATACCTTGATATCGGGGAGAAATATGGAACACTCAGTCTAGGCGGTGATGCAAATGATGGGTTCTTTGTGCGGCCGACTATCTTTGAGGGCGTTGCTGAAGACTTGCGGCTGATGCAAGAGGAGGTTTTTGGCCCGGTTGTTGCAATCAATACCTTTTCCACTGAGACTGAAGCAATTGAGAAGGCAAATGATTCGGAGTTTGGCCTGTACGCTGCTGTCTTTACCAAGGATATTGATCGTGCCATTCGTTTACCCAAGGCCCTGGATGCGGGCACTGTTGGGGTGAACTGCACTAGCCCGACGAGCGCTAAGGATGCTGCTTTTGGTGGTTTCAAGATGAGTGGGAATGGCCGGGAGGGGTTCTTGTATAGTCTTGACAGTTTCCTTGAGACTAAAAGTATTTGATCAAGACAGCACGTCTGTGATAGATACCTGGTTTAACCAAAGGCCTGGTTGAAAATGGAGGTGTGATTTCGGGGTTATAGAGAATTGAACAGAAAACCATGCAGAATTACTTGGCTCTACCAAAGAAGATCCATTATTCAGTAATATTTGACACCTAGATCAATCCTCCCGGTGAGCTTATATTAAAATAGTAAATAAGCCAAGCGTGGGGGTTATAGATCTCCGTTGTAAAGTCCAGTTCCAACCACGTTTATAAGAACCTTGGAAGGGCTAAATCCCGGTCTTTCTCCTCCCCATACACACATACAATAACCTACTGACTTGCTTGATGTATTTTTTGAGATAGATCATCTGATAGATACCATATTTGTCAGGCTGTGACTAGCTATATAGCTAGCTTCTGTTTGTTTGTAGAGAATCAATCCTTCTTCTCTCCTCTTCGCTTTCTGGTTATATTGCAACCATACCAAACCTAGCAAACTTGCCTATTGAACTCTTCATTGCAGTGCTAGATTTTGCTCTGCCCAAAAGTCGGTACCGCATCGCTTATGCAGCAATCCCCACATTGCGGCGATTGTGAGGGGGTTGAATCTCGGAAACTGGGGCTTTTACCCCTGCGCAGTTGCTAGTTGGCTAAGTCAAGTCCAGCTGCCGGTGACCGAGAGAGAGCTGGTCCGCAGTGTTATTTATGATACAGGATTGGGTGATCTTGAAGATACTATTTTTCGAAGTCTCTCCCGGCAAGATTGTTGGCCTTTGATGGTGATTCTCTTGACATTAGTTCCGAACCTTTCAACTCTCCATGCACATGTGCCTCCATGTGGTCCTATTATGGGGACTTTCCTGAAAAGAACACTTGACTTGAAGGCCTCTGGAAAGTCATTCTGCCCTCTTAATAAGCCCAAGGAGCTGATTTTGACCTACGAAGTCCCCATGATTGTGGGGTTGTGGACAAAAACCTTCTTCATGCGAAAACATACTGCGGTCCGGGGCAAACCTCAGAACCTTAGGGATTCCCAAGAACTTTTACTCAGCCACAATGCGGAAAATCGTAACGATGGGGATGAAGAAATGCGGGACAAAGAAGACTAGAATGGCGATCACGTCGATGAAATCTGTCCTCGTGACCGAGTATCGCGGTAAATCTGTTGCGATGTATTTCGCATATCCAGCCTTCGTGTCAGAAAGTACCAATATGCTGGGCTTACACTAGGGGCATGTTTCGGTATCTGAATGGGTGACCTCACTATCCGTTTCAATATCAGCTTTCTCCCATCGGCCACCCAAGAGGATCATACGTTCTCGGGTTCAATAAATACGTCGATGCAAATGCTACATCCGCGTTTTGTGGTTTATTCTTAGGATTACTTCTAGTAGTCTTTCAATGGGAACAGCAATGTCAGAATGATAGCGCATTTCAATTCGTAGCTAAAGATTAAGATATTGGTCTCCAGATGGAGATGGTTATTTCTGTTTTACATCTCCGAAATTTGGAGAAAACCTTCCCTCCAGTCAATCAGTACCGCGTTTGTAAGATCCCGGGTGATAAAGAGCCATAGGAACACAGCCACACCCAGCCGACTAGTAAGAAAGGATGAAGAACTGCTCAATCAGAAGGAGTAGGCAGCGATGGCCAGCAGGACTCCGACCATGACAGTCGAGATGGGAGCCGTGGCAATGAAGCCAGTGCTTTTCTCAGTAGTAGAGTCCACCGTTGTGGCGTTGGTCTTGGCCGTGGTATCGTTTGCGCGCTTGGCAGTGACCTTGTCGTTGTAGTGATACTTGGCGCTCCAGGGGTACGGCTTGGTATCGTAGGACGCGTTCAGGTGTCCATAGGCTTTCTTGACGGAATCCAGGATACCGTGACCGGCGGAGCACTTTTCATTGCTATCGGTAATGGGAACCGGCCACTCAGCAACAAATGTGGAGGTATTGCCAACGGACGTGTCCCCATCTGACATGGGACCAGGGTAAGTCTGGTTAAGAGTGAGATGGGTCTTGTCGACCTCGTAGTTGACGTAACCAGTCTTGTTGGCGACAATCTCGAAGAGATTGGCACCGCAATCCCAGCGGCCCAGGGAAGGAAGACCCCAGTTAGCAGAGATACTGGCAATGCTAGAGTAGTGAGTGTAGAAGGTATTGTCCTTGGTACCCTTGAGGTGCTCAGGAATGGCACCACCAACAAGAACGCTGAAGACACGGTTGTCGTTCGTGTAAGTGTCGTCTTCATCGAAGGTCAGAAGGAGGAGGGTGTTGTTGTAGAAGTACTCGTTCTGGAGCAATTTGGTCACCCAAGGACGCTCCCACTTGGCAGCGAAAGTGATGTTGGTGTCATGGGCATCGTTGGTCATGTTAGGAGTAATGAACGCCCACTGAGGAAGCTTCTTGTCCCGAAGATCATTTTCAAAGTCATCAAAGCTCTTGATAGAACGTGTACGACTGTCGTTGGCCACAACGGAGTCATAAAGCACCATCGGGTTGTGCTTGCGGACGTAATCAGGTTTGTAATTTGCCTGGTTGGAGTAGTTGAAGCCCTGGAAACCAGCATAGGGAATGTGCTCCTGGTATTCAGCCCACGAGATGCTCTTGGTGTCAAGAAGATCAGCAATGGTGGAAACGTTCAGAGGGATCTGCTTGAAGTCGTCGTTATCCATTCCAAACGTGTCACCACCAGCGGCAGCGCAGTAGTTGGGCTCAGAAGGATGGGTGACAGCATAGAAGTTGGTCCTAAAGAATATCAGAATGGGTCACCTCAACTCATAGCCCAAGTCATTGGAAACCTACAGCAAGATACCCTGAGAAGCAAGCCATTGCATGTCAGAATCGGCAGCAACATCACTGTAATCCTATGAGCCAGTTAGTCATGGTGTCTCGAGAACTCTAGGGATGCTTTGGGAGTTTATCACGCACAGTGTTCTCCAGCCAGACTTGATAGAAACGATCAAAAGCCAAACCCTTGACATCGGAGACAGTAACCTCCGGCTTGGTAGTTGCTGCAGCCGCACGAATGTCAGCGACAGCAGGCTCAGACGTAGTAGCTGTCTGAGCGGTTGCCAGAGCAGCCACTCCCGCCAGGACCGCGATGACAGTCTTCATTTTGATGGATCTCGCAGAAAATCAATGAAAGATTGATGTAACTGATAGAATAAGAACGAGTCAGACTGAAGAGAGTGGTAAGAAAGAAGAAGAAAAGATCATCAAGAGAGGTCGGAATAGCAGAATATGTATGGAAGCTTGGAAGGGGGTTCAATTCACTACACGTGCATCATACATAGGTCCACTCGGAGATAAAAATCTCAGAGGAAGGTATACCTGACCGGTACCTGAATTTATTTGTTCTTATTAGCTTTGTTGAAGTCTCATCCATGTACTCCGTACCTGATGTTGAGTTGAAGTTTAGAACGGTTTGTTGTACGACGTTGGCACATGGAGCGATGGAGCCCTCTGATTGGCTTAAATGGACCGAAATACAAAAACGAGGGGCCCGCACCAAGAACCAGGGCGAATGCTTAGCTGATCCAAGACTACGGCCCGACCCCTCTCCTCGCCAAAGCAGCTTTTATCTAGTATGTATATAGTCCATTATGTATCATATGTGTTTACACATCGGAGTACACGGTACATGCATACATATCCATAGATGTCGATGTACCTGATTTCTTGTAATTCATGTTAGTCCAATTGAAGTGGGGACTTATACGCTAGCGTGCCCAGCCCCAGAGGTATCTTTTTCTTGAGATAAGACTCGGTTGCTTGGCCCGATGCTTGGTGAGTGGAGAAAATGGGGTGCCCAGACAAATCACTGAGCTTGGCTCAGGGGCGTGCTAAGCTTCACCCAATAATCAAACGGTGAAAACAAATGAGAACAGATGAGAGCATGTGAGCACTAGAATATAAATTGCCCTAGGAGTGTTGGGATTGCCTAATATGGCAGTTTCTCGTCGGAGTCGTCGGGGTGTACAAGGAACGCCGACACTCGGCCATTTCGAGAAGGGAGAAATGAGAAATCCCAAGTAAATGATTCGACTGAAAATTCTCTTGCCATTCTTTTTCTTACAAGATAACTGGGATTGTAAAGCTTTCGGAGTTGTTGTACTATTCTGCCTATACGAGGTTACATTTCAAATGCGGGGCAGTTTTTGAAATATACCTAGGTACTCCGTACATATATTCATTGTACTAGTCAGGAAGGTGACATGAGTGGAGCTCATTGCTAGGCGACAGAATTCTAATGCCTGGGCTGCTCAAGTATAAGTTGAGTCTTGAATATGAAACAAAATTCCATTATCGTATATAGGTTATCAGGTATCATTTGTATACATTTTTACCGGCTAATCCCATGACGCTTCATATTCTGAAGATTCATAGTATCCTAGTCACCACCACGGTTCTCGTTCTTGAATCTGACATCGTCTTCTGGGCCGCCAGTGCCCTCGAAATGACCTCCTCTGGCGAGTCTAGAAGGAACAGAATGTTAACAATGTGAACGATTGACAGGCAGAGAAGTGGTATATGTCTCACCTGTTGCGGTCATCCCGAATGCCACCTTCATCCTCGGGAATTACACGGCGGTCACTGCCAGAGGCAGCTGAGCCAGGGCCATACTTCACACCTGTGGCCTGAGAGAATCGCTGGTCAACCATCTCGTCAACACCAGACTCGAGAGCTGGAATGGTTATCAGTATATACATGGCATCGATCAAGACCGGCTTCTCCACGTACTCGAGTCACTTTTCTTGCCAAGGCCCTGCTTGGCCTCGTAGGAGTTGAGGTTCCTCTCGGCATTGAAGGTTACCTGGTTCAATTCTTCGGTGCTAGGCATATTGTTTGAGTTATGTCTCGATGTTGTAGTATATGTAGGCAAATTGACGGGTGTTTGAAGAATTTGAACTTAAAGATTGCCATCTGCGTTCAACTGAATTGCGCTTTATATATATATATCTCTCTCGTCCTGGATCCCCATCCACATCATACCTACTTCACTTCAGGTTGGGAATTGTAGTTGCATCATGCTACATCATATGTATGTCACAAATAAAGAAATATACAGAACCATTGTATATGTTGTAGGTGAAAAAAAAGGGGTTTGCTTGAAAACAAGTTGCCAATCCAATTTTCCAAAATGACACTCTTAAGCATCTTAGAAGCTGTTTGAGGCTGACTTCATTGTCTCCACCTCCAGGGCTGCCCAGAGGGCATTGATCTCAGGGGAAAAACATTGGGAGCCCTAGCAGCAGATCTGAATCGGGATAGACATTAGGGTTCAACCCTAGGGTTTGGCGGGACCGGATTATTGCTTTTCCGGAGGCGGGGAGTTCATGTTGGAGAAGGGAGCTCCGACGAGACATGTCAGTTCTTTGATCACTTCTTTAGGAACTCACATAGCGCTTCTTTCCATGAATGTCTAGTGGTTCAGGGCACTTCAGTGAAATTCTGATCTGGTGCTTCTATTAGAAAAACCACGGGCTTTGCAGCTCTTTTTTCTTTCACGCGTCGATCGCCGTTATTCGCCATGACCTTTGCCATCGAAGCACAGGGCGAGACTAACCCACTCAGCCCCCAAAATGTGCTCAATACGCTAGTCCTTGCAGCAAGCTCGTCACAGGAGCAAGTTCGAACGGGCACTGAACAGCTCCAGAACTGGGAGAAACAGGGCATGTACTACTCTTTTCTACAGGTATCAGTCAACAGTCTTGGTTGTTGTTGCTTCACCCAATAACACGACTTTACAACATATAGGAAGTCTTTCTTGATCATTCCGTGCCACATGAAGTTCGTTATCTTGCCATTATTCAATTGAAGAATGGCATCGATAAATACTGGCGCAAGACAGCACCAAAGTATGTCATCGGAATATCACCAAGATAAGCGCATGCTAACACTTGTGAAAGTGCGATGAAACAGGAAGAAAAGGAACACATCAAGACCCGGGCTCTTGAGGCAGGAATCGTTGAGCCTTCGCCGCTGCTGGCTCTCCATAACTCCCTGATGATTGCAAAAATCATGCGATTTGAGTTTCCCCATGATTGGTATGTCAATCTGCAGCTGTGTGTCATCTCATTCTAATTTTAATCAGGCCGGATGCTATTTCGTACATCATTTCCTCACTCCGATCCTCCGTCCAACCTGGAGCAAACCCGCTCCAACTTCCCCGAACTCTCCTCATATTGCTACAGATAATCAAGGAATTATCGACGGCACGAATTCAACGAACGCGACATAATCTTCAGTCCGCATCACCCGAGATATTCCAGTTATTAGGAGGCATCTATGTTGATAAAGTCAATCAATGGGGGGCGATACTGGAGCAGGGTGGTGCTGGAGAGGGAGAGTTGCTGGGGACGCTCGAATTGAGCTTGGTATCTCTCAAGGTCCTCAGGCGTCTGATCATTGCTGGCTTTGAACATCCGAGTCGCAGCCAAGAAGTACAGGGCTTCTGGGTGCTGACCCATTCGCACTTCAGCAAATTCCATTCTCTCGTGGACGGGTCTACCAATCTCCCCGAGCCGATTCATCGGGCCATCGAGAAGCATTTGCTTCAGATGTCGAAGTTGCATGTCGAAATGGCCAAAACACACCCCGCGTCTTTCGCGTTGCTGCCAGATAGTATCTCGCTTGTCAAGTCGTATTGGTCATTAGTCGTCAAACTTGGCGAGAAATATGACAGCCTTGGTGCTGGAGGCGAAGATGAAGGGAAATCTTTGACTGAGAAGACCGGTCTGCGAGCTCTGCTCTTGATTCGTGCATGCGCAAAAATGGCATTCAACCCTGCTCACACTTTCAAATACCAGACACCGGAAGACAAGGAGGAGCGGAAACAATCCGTTCAGCTCGTCGAAACGGAACTCTTTACCGAAGAATTTGTGATCAATGTCATGGAGCTACTCGTCACGCAGTTCTTTAGATTCCGCAAGATCGATTTCCAAGATTGGGAAGAAGAACCGGAGGAATGGGAAAAGCGAGAGGAAGAGAATACTGATGCTTGGGAGTTCTCAATCCGTTCATGCTCGGAAAAACTTTTCCTTGACCTCGTGATTCATTTCAAGGATCTACTAATTCCACGTTTGCTGACCGTATTCTATACTTTCGCGAGTAGGTTATTGATGAGCCATATAAAGTGTGATGCGATTCTAATATTTATACTCTAGGCACCGACAACCACGATGTGCTCTTGAAAGACTCGCTGTATTCTGCCATCGGCTTGGCTGCGGCCAGCCTTGAACAGCATCTGGACTTCAACGCATTCTTGGAGCATACGATGGTTGCTGAGGTCCAGTCTCAAGAACCAGAGTACAAGCTTCTGAGGAGAAGAATCGCACTCGTGCTTGGCCAATGGGTCCCGGTCAAGGCAGGCGAACTGAACATGGACGCAATTTGCCAGATCTTCCAGCATTTGCTCGGCAAGCATGATCCTATGAACGATCTGGTCGTCCGCATTACCGCCGGTCGGCAACTCCGAAGTGTACTTAACTCATACGAATTTTCACCCGAAGCATTCATGCCATTTGCGCCTACCATCTTGGAGAGTCTCATGTCTCTCGTTCAAGAAGTCGAATCCTCGGATACCAAGATGGGGCTTTTGGAGACGGTTCGCACGGTGGTCGTCAAGATGGAAGATCATGTAAGTTGTTGCCTCGGTTTTGTTGGCGCCTGCGTAACTCACAATACTAGATCAACCCATTCTCTGATCGAATCATTTCTTTACTCCCACCGCTGTGGGAAAGCTCTGGCGAAGAACACTTGATGAAACAAGCTATCTTGACTTTGTTGTCATCCCTGATTCAATCGTTAGGACAGGAGTCTGTGAGGTATCACTCTCTTATTCTTCCACTGATCCAAAGCTCAGTGGAACCTGGCTCGGTAAGTCCCGTGTGAATCATGCTGCATATATCAACTTAACCTAACTTTTCGCCAAGGAAACCATTGTTTACCTTCTAGATGAGGCATTGGATCTCTGGCATGCCATTATTCAGGCTACACCATCTCCTGCCTCACCGGAAATCATATCACTTCTCCCGTCTTTGTTCCCCATTCTCGAAGCTGCAACCGATAGCACCCCGCAGGCCATTCAAATCCTCGAATCTTATGTGTTCCTTGCGCCGCAGGAGATTCTCAGTGACCGTTTCCGCTACCAAATTTTGGTGATCCTTGAATCACTACTCAAATCCACAACTAAGCAACGACTCGGTGTGATACCTCGCCTTGTTGATCTGATGCTTCGCGGTGCGGAGACAGTGGACGGCGGTAGCGAAGCAACATATGGCGTCATTTCCCAGTCCCTTCTAGACAGCTCCTTCCTTGCCTCCCTGCTAGAAGGCCTTTACTCTGCCCACGAAGCGAGTCAGACATCCGGTCCAAACAGAAAGACTTCACCTGTGGACGGTGTCGTCGAAAGCGATTACTTCTCTGTGCTAGCGCGCCTTGCACTGGCCAGTCCTACCATTCTAGCCTCATCAGTCGCCGCCGCGACCAACTCATCTGATGAACAATCTCTGACCTGGATCGTGACCGAATGGTTTTCGCACTACGATAACATTGGCAGCATCAACCAAAAGAAACTCCACGTACTTGCCCTCACCCAACTTTTGGCCCTACAAGGACCGCCACTCGATCCGTCTTTACCCCCTCCGCCCCCTGCCTACATCCTTTCTCACTTGCAATCATACTTGAGTGTATGGACAGATCTCATCACCGAGTTAGCAGACGGTAGCACTGACCCCAATGCCGATTATCTGGTCTGCTGGAATGCACCACCCGGGTCAGAAACCGCAATGCCAGAAGCCCAAGAGGTCGAATCGCCCGAGATCATTCGTCGCCGTGACTGGCAATCCGGGGATGCAATCCATCGCTTTATGATCCGAGACTTTGTGCGCCATCGCCTGCAAGAGGTTATCGCTGGCTGTGGTGGAGCACAGCGGTTCCAGGATGAGTGGCTAGTCAACGTCGACACTGAAGTCGTGGCCGCGTTTGGAGCACTTGGATTACTCTGAGTGAAGAAGACCTTGCTCCTTTTGATATCGGTAGCGCATTTTCACTTTCCATTTGCATTGCCACCATTCTGTTGTATATGCTTGTTACACTCATATTTTTCTACTTGCATGACCACCATGGTCCATACCTGTCGACTTTTAGCACTCTCAGATCCCAGATACTGATACATACCCCAATACATAAGATATCTTCTCAAAGCTTATTGTGATCGCTAAATAGTAGATCTTTCTTGGGACTCTAGTTCTTTCACCAGCCGGATGGCGGATCCCTAGTCGAGTGACCAGTTCACCGTGTCATTTTTCTTTTTTGGCTCTACGATTTACAATTATGATATTCTCGCAAGGGAAGAGCACACAAACAGAATGCCTTCAAATAAGTATTCATGGATATCCCAAGGTCACTTAGTGATATGAGCTACAGCAGGAAGACCAAAGAACCCCAAGAAAGCAAAAGAAAATGACTTGAATTGTGGAATTCACAACCTAATCAGTAAGCCCTAAAAATGAAGCACACCACAACAGCGCGAGGAACGGAATTGACTCGCTTACACGACAATTAAAGAACATGAATCAGGCCTGGACAAAGAGTTGGACAAAAAAAAAACTCAAAAACGTCAAAATCAGTAGCATGCGCCATGCGACATTTGAAAACAAGAAGGGCAAAAAGGTGCATGACTGATAACGCTCAGCACTGACCGGGGAATTTACGGCTGGTGACAGGACTGGGGAAGACACCGTGAGCGATTTGCTCTTGCATATCCCACTCAGGAGCACCCTCAGTCTTCCAGGTCCAGTAGAGCCAGCCGGTACCCTTCTCATAAGCATCAAGTTGACTTTCGATGAAGCGACGAAGGTTGTTTCGGTCATTCTCGGACAAAGCATCCACAGATCCAGTAGACTTGCCCGCACAGCTGCCGACAGCATTACTGTTGGCGTAAGTACCATCGTAGCGGGCACCGATACCCTTTCCGTTCAGGTACTTAGCACAATCAGTCATGGCACCGGTCCACTCACCAACAACGGTCCACTTATCAGAGGTCACAACGTGATCTCTGGCAAAGCCGCAGACGTTGTTGACGTGGCTTTGAGTGTCCATGGCGAGAAGACCGTTGTCAAACACTTCATAGTGGTGGGTGTCCATCATCACATACCAAACGCCGCTAGACTCGCTCATGAAGCCGTTCCATGATTCAGTAGGCACAAAGCCGTCATGCAAGACAACTGTGGTGTCCTGGCTTGCCTTTCGGACGACACCCCATGCGTCGTAGTAGTACTGCTTCAGGCCACCTTGGTCCACTCCACCCGGGATGCTAGGCTCGTTCAAAGCCTCGATCGCAGTCACGACGTCTCCATCGTTTTTGTAGCGAGCAGCGAGAGCCTCCAGGGCATCCTTGGTGTTCTCAACAGTATTACCCTGTTGCCAGTGAATGGCACCACGCTTTCCACTGTTGTCAAAGCCATTCTGAGAGCCAGGGGCTGTTTTATTCGTCAGTAGTTGTCATATAACAGATAGATGCGCAAACATACCCCCGTGCAAGTCAAGCATGACCTTAAGACCAGCGGAGCGAGCCCAGCCGATGGCCTGGTCAAGATACTCCAGCTGACCATTGATGTATTGATCACCATCCAAGTGCTTTAGGGCCCAGTATCCCACAGGGATTCTGACGTGGTTCATTCCTGCACTGGCAATTTGATGCAAGTCGTCGGCGGTAATGAAACTGCTCCAGTGTTCGGACAGAACAGAGCGACATCTGTCCGCGCCCAGAGTCGCACAAAGAGACCACTCATCAACAGCAGAATCGCCAGCTGCGTCAAAAATAGATGGAGTGATCCAGGGCTCCAGTACCAGCCAACCACCGAGGTTGACACCACGGATTTTGTCGTTACGGTAGTCGAAGTTTAGACTACTGTAAACAGATGCAAGTTAGCAACATATATAAATTCGAGCACAGCAAAACTGTAGTATCGATATAGAGCACTCACACTGTGGGAATAGCCTGCACCAAGGCTGCCATTAAAGACAGCCCGAGCAATGACTTCTGCGAGAACTTGGACATGGACGGCATATTGAAAGCCCTAACTTGGGTCAGATTCAGAAAATCAGGAGGCTGGGAAAATGAGGAATGAGAAATAAAGAATGAAGAATCAGGAATGATTATATTTGAAATTGGTTGGAGATCGGCTGTTATAAGTAACTCGATATTGGTGGCTGATCAGGTGGCCGGATGCAGGTGAAATGAAAGGTTACGTAGGTGAGAACGGAAGTCTATATGGGGAATGATAAAAAAAACTGAAGCAAAAGCAACGTACCTGTGTAAATTGTTCTTCGCCGGGGTCTGGAGTGGCCGAAAACAGTGGTGGGTCGCGGTGTCTGGGGTTTGGGCACAAAGGCCTTGTTTTCTTTAAGAGTAATGGTACCTAACTGACCTCGAGAAGCAGCGTTTTGAGCGCTTCGATATCACGGGGTTGAAGGTGACAAATAATACGTCTGAATCGGGTTTAGATAGGCGATTGAACAATGCGGGAGTGAAGACTGTAAAACTAAGTATCTTCAATGTTCATTTCAGCGCTTTGGTATGTGTTATACTGGAAACTGCGACCCAACATAGTATAGGAAACTATACTCCATCCTTCATTTCCCTATATGTTAGATTTCCCTTGCGAATTCAACTCGATTTTTATTTGGACTGGATACATCCAGTACAGGCTAGACTCACCGTACATATGAAACCACTTGAAGAAAGAAAGAAAAAAAAAAGCAAATACTGTTTGCAGCAAAATTTTACATTCCGTGATGTGATGATCAGCACGTGGCACTCCCACACCTGTATGGAATGTGGCTTTCTTCTTGACAGCTTCTGGACAACTTGGACTTGAGCATGTTTATGCTTAGTATTTCAGCCACTTAGTTCCTTAGTCAAGGTTGGTGTAAGTCTAGACTTAAATAGTTTAGGGTCATACAGATCAAGCTATTCACAAACGGGGCTTTTTGGACTAGGTACCTATATTGTTGTGTGTAACGCCGTGTGCATGATCTCATGCTAAACCCTCCAAAGTGGAAAAAAAAATAAGAAGAGTTATCTATACCCTAATATACTTTCTAATGTGCTGGGAACATGAAGTGGTGGGTATACTCGAGGATGGTTGAGGCGCGTCGTCCTCTGTACTTCCGTTTCCGGCAATAAGTGCATTATACCTGAGACAAAGTAAGAACCAAGACTTATGACGTGCATTGTACCCCACAAAGCTCATGTCACACTCTCACATCCGTCTAATCCAGGGGCCCTTATCCGTCGGCCCGTCAACCAGTCGGGTAGAGTACGGGTCTACACATGATCGTGACTGGACCTTGCGGGTCTCAGGATTTGAATTCCCAAGTAACCTTGACCTCAAATAAGACAAAATCTCGAGGAATGTGTAGAACATCAAGAGGTTGGAATGTACATCCACATGTTTCACGGGTCTAGGCCCTTGAAGTCTGAGCGGCCAAGTCGCTGAACTTCTATCAACTAATTCGGCTCAACGTTCCCATCGGATTATAACGGAGCGAAACTGAAATTGCAATTACCTTGAAAAATATGAATGGTTCCGAGTAGTATATACACCAGGCGCTCATTTATAATAATAAGCGCCGCTAATTGGGCCGAGACAGACAGTCAAGTCGTATCCTCGTTACTATAAGAAATCTCCATGACCTTCATCGTCTTAGAGCTTCCTGGCCGGAGGTCAAATACCTATATAAAAAGTCGTATGGCAATTTCCAAAGTAAAAGAGTGAAGAACTTGCTATTTCGGTATTCTATACTACACATATCTTCTAGAGTCCGGCAAATATCTCTAGAGGCTCTCTGATTGAGCGTCAGTGACCGCCGCATCCAAAGGAGCAGAAAGTCCGACCCGATCAATAGTACGGGTGTAAGCAATACCGCCGTTGACTCTGTCCTCGTGCACGACCAAGTCCTTGCGGTTGGTGTCGACAAGAAGACGGATCAAGTCCGGGCGCATGTAGTGGCCGCCGAAATCGGCCAAAGACTTGGTCAGATGGATCTCGTCGAGGTCAATCTGTTTTGACGACCAATTAGTTTGACATTCTGGGGAAATTTAAAAAAGGAATTCTCCACTTACGTCAACGAAAAGAAGTCCTTGGAAGTCCTTGTCCGGGTGAGGAACAAGGTTCTGTCCATCAGGCCCAAAGATACGGCCATTTCCATTGTAGATGTTGGGATCCTCAAGCTCCTTTCCGGGAGGGGTGTTGAGCTTGATTCCCTCGGCAGTGATTGTCTGCCACGGTGCCAGAGTGAATGAACCGGTTTCAATCGCGTACGCAGGGGTGACAAGCTGAGCAGTCTTGTCAGTAATCAGATCAACTTCTCATCGCCAAAAAAAAGGGAAGGGGAGTATATACATCTGCGTTTGCCTCGGCCACATTGGTGTATGGGTCAGGGTACTTGAGAGTCTCCTTTCCTGGGTACAGAGGCCAGGCAGCGATGTGCACTTGCTCACCGAGCGAGGCGGCGTACGCCTTAAGGAAAGGGTTCATGTTCTCCCAGCAATTGAGGTGTCCAATACGGCCGATCTCGGTGTCCATCACCGACTCGGTAGTGTCACCAGTGCCGTCTCCGAAAACAAGGCGCTCGACGTGAGTGGCCTTGATTTTGCGACGGTGATTGATGACATCTCCAGCTGGGCTGATCATGATCTGCGTCGTGTACAAGCTGGCAAGATCGAGCTCCGAGTATCCAAGAGACACCCAAATCTTGTTGGCTTTGGCTGCCTCGCGGATGCGGCGCATCTCATCCGAGTTGGAGGCGAGACTGTTCTCGCGATACTTCTTTAGCAGTGGCAGGCTCTCCTGGTAGGTCACCTTCCAAGCCCAGTAAGGGTAGCCGGGGATCCCTGTTTGTATTTATTAGCACATTGAATCCGGTACTTGAGAATGTGATACTGACATAGCTCAGGGAAAGCAATCAGCTTGCAGCCTGCCTTGCCTGCTTCATCGATCCAGTGTATTGTTCGGCGAACAGATTCCTGGAGGTCGAACCAGCCAGGCTCAGCATTGACTGCTGCGGCCTTGTACTTCTTGAGAACGGGAACCATGTTGAGATCTTGATTGTCTTGTCACGAGTGTTTGCTTTGGAGATTGTTGTGTAGAATGAAAGTCTCTATCTCGAGCCCGGGAAGAACCTCAATTTATAACACCTCAAGATCTCCTGTATGTTAGCTTTGAAACGATGACATACACCTCCCAAACCCCGAAACATAGGATGAGCAACATCATGAGATTCGGAAGCTCACGGATTCGGGGACTGCTCTGAAGCAAGTGAGGAATAGTCGTCACGTTTGGCAGTGAAGCGCAACTATGAGCCCCGGGGCATAAGCACGGGGTTTGCTCTAATGTAGTGTCAGGCCAGAGGACAGTTCCCGGAAGTTTGATAATGAGCATATAAGCATATACTACCTAGCTTGAGCCCGGGATCTGTTAGGGCTATGTTTAATTCAATCAGGCCATGAAAGGTGGGTTTTGTTGTTGCAGAGCTTCGGTGATCCGCACTAATCCCGGGGGTGATACAGAGCCCTCCCGGATTGTTCCACCCAAATCCCGATATCAACTCAATCCCGATGGAAATGCCCAGTCACCATACTGATGGGAATAGGAGAATCGCATTGTTCGAATATTACTGCATCCTACAGATTTCGGAACTCAATTTCTCAACGAAATTTAACTAGAGAATCGCATATGACCAATCGCCGCTCGCGGGCTCCTAGACACACGTAAATGTCCTAGCTAGGTAATTTTGCATGCCGTCTTCGAAGTAGCTCTTTTTTACAATACCTTGACTCTTGGATTATCTTACTGGGCCGCCCAGATGCATATGATTACAAATGGAGCATCTACAAATCCCGAAAGATCTTGGATTTGTCCTACTATTCATATCCCGTTATACAATACATTAGTATTAGTTATATCACCAACGCGCCGAAAGGAACACAATATATATATATATATATATATATATATATATACCCCCTAAACCTCGCTCAATGCTCAATGCCCGATGCTCTTTGCTGGTATTGTCGAATTGTGGCAATCGTTTGTTATATACGAAAAGTCGATCTGCACATGTTACACCTTTTTCGCCGCCTATATTCTATATTTTACAGCTGTCCTTGCACTCCTAGCTAGTACACCAATAAAAGGTAAAATAACGATGGGAAAAAAAACATCTGAGAAGACTTCTAAAACACCACCAAAAAGACATAACAGGGTCGCATAAGCGGCCAACTATTCTTATAAGCTATATATTCATCCGCGGCTTAATGACATATAATCTAATCAGACTAAAGTTGGCAAAATTTATGCATTTCCCAGTCCAACTATCCTTGGAGAGATTTGTTTTGAATGTTCAAGGGGCGTTCTAAATAAGCGTTGCATATAGACATTGACTACCTCTAGCTTTCCAGGATCGGAATAAATTAGGCTATGAGCTATGATCTACAAGGTATTTGTTTTGGAATGTTATCAAAGCATTAGGTGTAATTAAGTCCAGGCTTGGATATTCTCATCGGACTCTATTTATAGCGTCGATGGAAAGCTTGGCACCAGCTAACTTCTTCACTTTCCAAGGTTATTTGGGCTTCTGGGATTGTCTGCAGACAACTTTCTCCGTGGTTATCTGGCAAGGAAAGGCTAGGCCAATCATTTTCACCTACTCCAAACCCGAAGTCAATCACATTATGTGATATTCGGGCCAGTATATTAGTTTAGTTTGGGCTTCTAACCATGTTTAACAATCGGACTGACCCATCTGTACAACATTGGGCGCTGTAGTTGGCCTGTTGCACATGTCCTAGATCGGAACAACGCTGCCATCTATCATTTTATTTTTGCAGAATAAATGGCCAAATTGAAGTTGAAGCTGACTATGGGCCTACCTCACTTGCCAGTATAATATATAGGAGATCGATCTGGTACCTTCACGCATTATTAATTAGGGCTGGTGGGACTGACCGACTGATCTAAAATTTGAGACTGACTCTAGATACTCTACATTTGGGGTTAGTTATATTTTCAACAAGATCAACACCTAGCGGCTTATTACTTGTGTAGGTGCACAACAATCGCAATTTACAACAGCCGAAAAACAATCATGTTTTTTTTTTTTTTTTTTCTTTTTTCTTTTTTGGTTATTTGTCTGAGAATTGTGAGGTTGATCTTACTAGCGGTCAATTTTAATTTCTAGATTAAATAATTAACTAAGAAAGAAGTCACACATCGGGTTAGGGATATGATATTCCGCCTATCGGTTTTCCCGACTCAAGAACAAAGGACTCGTTTCTTCGCCTAAAAGCTTTGTTACATCGCTTCACTATTACACCATCATCCAAGCTTAACACATCTCATTGGAACAACAAGTAGACCTCCGGCCTCACCGTAAGCCCCGCTTCTCGAACGCGGAGAATAATGGGGGGCGGAGCACCCCCGAAGCCTAAAAACAAGCCACCGCCCTAGGCTTAGGCGGAGGCAGCAACCGGATAAACGACTCGCCAATCGAGAAGAAGGGATCGTCGCGCCAAGCCAGGTTCTGAGGGGCAGGGCGGGCTTTCGTACTCTTAAATTGAAAGCTGATACAACCTCAAGCTACCACGTCGTCGGAGACAGCGGGATGGCACGACATTGCTCCGTCATGAAGACGACGTAACAAAGCTTTTAGGCGAAGAAACGGCGAGTGGATGATATATTGTAATCAGACCACGGCCAGACAGACCTAATTATCAAATATCCCGCTCAGGGTGGGTATACCAGTGTGCCATGCAATCCGGACGCAAGGGATTGGATAGGAAACGCGATCCTTGCTATGTAGGTGAATTAATAATGCAAGATTAAACCCTTCCATGTAAACATACATGACTTCAGTTTTAGGCTTGACTTGCACATGCAGATGAGCGGCATATCTCGGCAAAAGGATGGGGCAGCAAGTAACATGACTTCCCTCGCATGGGAAATCTATGTCTGGGGTAAAGATCGATCAGCTGTCGCCCATATGTTGCAACGATCGGCGTTGAATTTTCGCGGCATTGGGCAGAGCATTCCGTCGCGTGAGCAAATGCTCAGTCAGGTTAGAAGTAGTGTTTCGCTGGCGAGAAATGCTCCACAGAATACCTACCACTGCTGTGATTTGTCGCTCCCTGGAACCGGATATGGAACTAGGCCGGAAAACTGCCAAGGGATCATTATTATTGTCTGCCAGTACGGACTAGTGTTCTAGTAATTTCGGGTTATCGGGAGAATCCACACCTTGAGTGCCCATAGCAGGCAAGATTCAGCTAACACTTACTTTGTGGCAGTTTGATTCTTTATAATGTGTATATTGACATCATTGCTGCCCGTCAGCTCTTGGCTGCTGTACTTGGCTCCTGCGCTGTCAATAGCGCCAAGCAGTGGCTGATGCTCCCTGTGATCGGACACCAGCCAGCGGCCGACATGCTCGCGGTCCTTACGGAGTAGTGAATCTGATTTCCCGGGCCTCCTGTGAGCTTCCTGCAGGGTTAGCCCTTGTGGGGATGTCTGCCAAGTGGATGTTGGATGCAGGGAAGCACCGTGCCATGAGTCTTTTAGTCCCTCGTACGCAGGGTCCAATGTATTTAAATCCAGGGACTAGCCCAATCATGCTCAGAATGTGATATTTTATTCTGAAGATCCTCGGCACTGTCACTGTTGCTTGTGTATATTTCTGTTAGAAGATCAGAGTGCCTCTGATCGACATGCATTTGGCTCAGAGTTTTATCTTGTCGTGCCTGGTAGCGACTAGTCTAGCTCTGCCTAGCAGTGAGGACACCAAGCACCAGGAAAATAAGGCGCGCAGTGCGGGTTACTCTCTTAAGGAGCCTCCCTTGACAACGCCATGGACTGACAAAGTCGGAACGAAACCATGGCCCGAATATCCGCGGCCGTTGCTGCAGCGCTCTGAATGGAAGAATCTCAATGGGGTATGGAAGTACGAAAGTGCTTTGAGCCTCGATGCTGTTCAGCAGCCACCTTTTGGGAAAGAGCTTGCACAGGATGTTTTGATTCCGTCGTGTCTTGAGAGTGGATTATCCGGTAGGTCTTGTCCTGTTTGCTACGGAATCATCAAAAATTAACCAATATTCGCAGGAATCCAAGCTAATTCGGCTTTTTACTCTTGGTTTTCAACCTCATTCGAGGTATCTTCTTCTTGGAAGGGTGAGCAGGTACTGCTCAATTTTGGAGCTGTAGATTACGAAGCCACAGTCTTTGTCAATGGTAAAAAGGCCGGCTTCCACCGTGGTGGATATTTCCGCTTCGAGTTAGATGTAACGAAGTACCTGAAGTTTGGTCAGCAGAATGAGCTGTGAGTATCCAGGGATTACAACGCCGTCGACTTGCATACCTGACTTTGAATACAGACTTGTTTTCGTGCATGATCCTACTGACGACGGTGATTATGTTATCCCCATTGGAAAACAGACGTTGAGACCAAGTCACATCTTTTATACCCCATGTAGTGGTATTTGGCAAACTGTTTGGCTCGAGGCTGCCCCATCTAATCACATTACCCAACTCGATATTGATGCAAACATGTATGGTCAAGGTAAGTCTCTGTTGTCAGTTTGTGGAAATTTTTGATTGATTCTGACTGCGAGTAGTCAACATCACTGTACACAGCTCCGCCAAGGAAAAATCTGCCCAGGCCGAGGTCACTGTCCACCAAGATGGTAAGACAGTTGCAAGCCACAAAGGCCCCACCAACAAGCCATTCCAATTTACCGTATCATCGCCCAAGCTCTGGTCCCCAGACTCGCCTAATCTGTACAATGTGACTGTTAAACTTGGCAAAGACCAGGTGGAGAGCTATACTGGCTTCCGTACAATCTCTAGGGGTAAGGTTGGCGGAATTGAGCGGCCCTTGCTCAATGGGGAATTTATTTTTATGTTCGGAACCTTGGACCAGGGCTATTGGCCCGACGGGTTATACACGCCCCCCAGCAAAGAGGCAATGGTATACGACTTGGAGATGCTAAAGAACTTGGGATTCAACATGGTCCGCAAGCATGTGAGTGACACCGTGTCGCATTATATTCCCTAGTTTCTCTCGTGCTCACTCCGTGGAATGTAGATCAAAGTCGAAACCGATCTGTTTTATCAAGCGTGCGATGAACTCGGTCTGCTTGTCATTCAGGATATGCCTTCCCTGCGCCCCTCACAATCCAAAAGGCTGGAAAACTGCGACTCCGTTACTATCCTACCGAACGAAGCGCAGCAGGCCGAGTTCGCTCGCCAGTTAGATGTATTGATTAACCAGCTCAAAAGCTTCCCTAGTATTGCAACTTGGGTAAGTTAAGGTATTTTCGGTGAAAGCCAGAAGTATATTCTGACATAAGTCATAGGTCATTTACAACGAAGCCTGGGGTCAAATCACCGACTACTATCCAGAGTTTGAGTTGACCGAGCGGGTGAGACAGCTGGACCCCACTCGGCTTGTGGACTCAACGACCGGATGGGACGACCACGGCGCAGGAGATTTTAGTGTATGAATCCTTCCGCTGTGGCTCAACCACGTGGCTAATTAAATAGGATAACCATCACTACGCAAACCCACAATGCGGCACCCCATTCTACTCCAGAAGCTCGAGCCCATACGATTCCACCCGGATTGGGTTCCAGGGTGAGTTTGGCGGTATCGGGACTAATGTATCCATTGAGCATCTCTGGAACAACCAGGCAGCTATCAACACTATCGACCAAACATACGAAATCGACACCACTATCGAGGCATGGAACTATCGCAGCCACCTTCTCCTAAGCGAGCTCGAGGATCAGGTCCGCTTGTACGCATGTAGTGGGGGGGTCTGGACGCAGACGACCGATGTGGAGGGCGAGGTTAATGGCCTGATTACCTACGACCGTCGCTTGGCAAGAGTCGATGTGAAGCAGTGGCAGGCAGATATTAAGGGTCTGTACGATGCTGCGGCCGGACGAAGCAACTCGACCGTGGAAAGCTCATAATTGTATCTAGTGGACAGGCCTATCTGAGGCTATGTGGGATGAATGTGCACAGGCGATGCGGATGGAGTATATATATATAGGTTAATTATCCCTAAATGAAAACCCGATCAAAAACTAACCAATCGTGACTTCCGTTGATACTCCCCAGAGTCCAAGATCTACACTTCTGCAACACATTTGTTACTTTGTTCAGCGCCTCAGTTTCATAATTTTCAGTTATTTTCAATTATTTTGACTAATTTTGATTAGAAGTATCTTGACTGGATGATAGTTCGGACAGCCACCGACAGCCACCAACAGCCATAGTCAGCCACTAACAGCCACTAACAGCCACTGCCATCATCGAATAAATCCTCAGAAACCAAAATAAATTAAATCCTTCTAGAACCATGGAACCAAAGCCGTTAAATTTGTGGTACGCGGCAAACTCTCCAATCCTTGGAAATCTTGGAACCTTGGAACCTTTGGAACATTCCAAACCCCCCTGTTCTAGACCTAAATAGGACCCAAGAACTTACTAACGCGGCAGTGATCGCCTACCGCGTCTGTTTTTTGAAACGTTTCAGTTTGAGAAAAATGAATAGGGGGAACATTGAAATCAATATCATCTACTAGGAGGCTCCCCAAAAAAATCAAAGTTCAAGTATACGAGATCTAGCCTCGTGTTTTAGCCCCTATTATTCGAGTGAAAATTTTTTCGCATATAGCATATTCGATCATGCCATACCCACTAGCCGATCAGCCCCTCCCGGGGTTTAGGCCATCAGGCCATACTATCACACGACTGAAATATATAGATTTTATAATCAGAGATGGTTCATCGTATATAGCGCGTTATTCTCGAGTCTAGCGTTTCTTGATATGCAGGTGTTTCCTGATTTTTCTACGCTATTGCCCTTTAGCTCCGGCTTCCCCCTATTGTCCTATACGAAGTACGGAGTACGGAGTATATTGTTGCAAAGAACCAGACCCACGCACCCACCAGTTCGGGATTCTCTCGAAAGCATAAATTTATTCAGGGGGAGCTTTCTTAGGATTGGCATTAAGGCTGAGAAGTTGATCTCGTGCCGTTGAGCCTAAAGCTGAAATTGTTGATATGTATACCTCTAACTTATATATACCCTGTCAATACTTCCATAGACACCCGAATACATCACCAGGTCCGCCCATTCGGACCCGACCGGAACCCACTTCGTCCCGGGTTCTAAGAAAAGCCGTTGAGCCCGTAGTGGAGTTCCGAATGTCCGTGGCCAGTGGAAAATAGTGAGATTGCAAACACCGATAGATCCATTTCTAATTAATTTGCTTCGTGTTGGCACGAGCGTTGATTCAAGTGGGTGTGTGTAATCTTAGTGTTTTATGTGAAAAGCAAGCCATCTGATCGTAAACTAAGATCGTATAGATGGCTAGAGGTATATCAAGTTCATGAACCTATTAAAGACGAGCTAATAGTATTTCTCGCGCGTTTCCGGGTCGCTTGTTTCAAATTGCCGAATCTGACAGCATGAAAATCAAGGATTATCTCAAGATTGTCGTTCTTGGCTTACCTATGTGTTCCCTAAATTATATTTTATTAGGGAGATTACAGGGATCAGCCCATACACGTTAAGAGGGTCACTCCACTTTAGAGCTTGACTAAATCATCTCACCCTGTGGTCTGATTCGGCCATAAGGCACTTGACTTAAAAAAAGAATAGGAAAACCTCGGCATTGATACTTTATGCTCACATGGAATCGGGTAAGATCGCGCTTTTCTGAGTAACAAGTCACGGAATAATCTAGAGCGGAGCCCAATAGGATGTCTTTTACAGTTTAGTGGCTTCCAATCTAATCGGGTTGCATTTTAATCTAATTTATGTATATAAATTTTTTAAAACGGAGACCGAAGGCATCTTAACGGGTATCGAGCATTCCATGGTATAAATACTCCATCTGCCACGATCTTGCCACGAGGTTCCCCAGTTTTATATTCTCCCAAACTCGGTTCCCTTTCAGCTTTCCCCAATCTTACGTACCAAAAAGGTACATTACCACCATGGATCACAGTGCAGGAATTCCTGTTGACCCGATGCACATCGATCGGAAGCTTCTCTACACAAGCTTGGAAGAACGCATCAAGTACCTTCACAGCTTCCTCGACTTCAACTCTGGTATGTTCTTACCATGAACCGCTCTCAGTCATAGTCACTAACGTTACTCCCAGCTGATATCGAAGCATTGATGACCGGCAACAAATACATCAAGCAATTGATCCCCGCAATCGTCAACCTGGTATATAAAAAGCTTCTTCAATATGACATCACATCTCGCGCTTTCCACACACGGACAACAGCCGATGAGACCGAGCCCGAGGAGGAGTACCTCCACGAAGAGACACCGAAAATCAAGCGACGCAAGATGTTCCTGCGCTGGTACTTGACTCGCCTATGCCAGGACCCGACCACAATGGACTTCTGGCGGTACTTGGACAAAGTTGGGTAAGTTCACACAACACACACATACCACCTTTCCCTTTCCGGGATTATTTTATGCTTGTGCAATACGCTAACGTGGGATTCTGTAATACAGCCTGATGCACAGCGGAGTCGCACGCAGAACGCCACTGAACATCGAGTATATCCACATCGGCGCATGCATGGGGTATATTCAGGACATCTGGATCGAAGCGATGATGTCGCACCCCCACCTGTCCTTGCGACGCAAGATTGCGCTCGTGCGTGCCGTCAACAAGATCCTCTGGATCCAGAACGATCTCTTCGCTCGGTACCACTCGAGCGATGGCGAGGAGTACGCGGAGGAGATGTCTCAGTACAACTACTCTGACGATCAGGAGGGTTATCTTGGCGACAAGCGCATTCTTGGAAGCGGCTCCAGTAGCTCGACCGAGGATGACAGGTCCAGCATTTCCAGTGGTATAGCGCCTTCTATAGATAGTGCGGCGCCGATGGGAAATGCGGCAAATAATAGGTCCAATGTGTCTGTGTGTCCTTTCGCGGACATGGCCAAAAACAGCAATTCGACTGAGACGAAGATTTGGGCCAATTGAGTGGCTTCCCTGTATTATTGTGCGGGTCACAGTTTGCATCTTTTAGGCGCTTGGGGGTTATGGGGGTTTATTGGTGATAGGGCTAGACGCTGGAAGTCTGGGTTTTTGGAAATACCTTTGATCAACATAGACGGTGTTGAAAATAATTCAAAAAGATATTGGAATAAATTGGCCATTGAGCATCTCATCTATCTCTTTTCTTTTCTTTCATTTTCAATTTTTTTCATTCTTTCTCATCTATTTCCATCTCGGCGGCATGATTCCGGCTTTGTCATCTTTTTTTCCCCCCACACACCCGAGGTCGGCTGTTATTCAAGGTAGTTGGAGAAGGATTTAGCATTGTATATCCGCAGACGGAGATAATCCATTGAACCGCTGCATAATAACCCAGAGCTCGGACACAACTAACCGATCTGCCTCCATTCAATAAAAGAAGGAGCCATCAGAGTTCTACCCCCTTTGTGTCTCCACCCTCTTTCTTTGGTTAAGATCAGAGGCCAGAGCTCTTATTAAATTCACTCAACCCTTGCATTCGAGTATATAGACCCGTCCTTTTCTGTGTTTAAGGAGATATCCTCCCGTATTATCCTTCTGTTCAACTCCCGAAAAACTCACAATGACACAAACAACCAAGGCGGTGACGCCTATCATCGTCAACAATGAGTCCGTTGAGACCGATATCAAATTCAAGGTCCACGCCCCCGCCACTGGCGAGCTGAGTGGCTATTGTGCCGGCGTGTCAGTCGCCGATGCCAATCGCGCAGTCGACGCTGCCCAGGCTGCGTTTCCCGCATGGAGCAAGACCAGCGCAAACGACCGTCGCGACATCCTGCTGAAGGCTGCCGACATCATGGCAGAGCGCAAAGAGGAATTGATCCAATACCAGCGCGAGGAGACTGGCGCCGGCCGGCCTTTCTCGGAGTTCACCTTCAATATGGGTGTGCTCTTCATCAAGGACTTCGCAGCCCGGATATCCTCAATCGAGGGTATCGTGCCGAATGTCAGTGGGGACGGTGCAGGGGCTATCGTATACAAGGAGCCATACGGAGTAATTCTGTCAATTGCGCCATGGTAAGTTTCCCTGATCTGATCTGCAACATACCTTGCAATGTATCAGCTGGCTTGGGGGACTCTTTTTAATCGATTGGCAGGAATGCGCCTTTCATTCTGGGCACGCGCGCTGTTGCGCTCCCTCTGGCGGCTGGAAACACTGTCGTTCTAAAGGGCTCCGAGCTCTCACCCAAGTGTTTCTGGGCTCTGGGCGACATCTTCCGCCAGGCTGGTCTTCCCGCCGGATGTCTGAACGTCATCTTCCACCAGCCCTCCGACGCTCCGGTCATCACGACCGCGCTGATTGCCCACCAGGCTGTGCGCAAGGTCAACTTCACCGGTAGCACGATGGTCGGCTCGATCATCGCCTCTACAGCAGGTAAGTACATCAAGCCTGTGCTGCTCGAGCTGGGCGGCAAGGCGTCGGCGATTGTTCTGGACGACGCGGACTTGGACAGGGCTGCCATGAACTGTGCTATTGGATCCTTCATGCACGTACGTAGTATTGATTCAATCGAGACAAGGGATATATCACATAACTGACAAACGACGCACAGTCCGGGCAAATTTGCATGTCGACCGAGCGGATTGTCGTGCAGCGCTCGATTGCAGACAAGTTCCGACAGAAGCTTACTGAGACAACTGAGAAGTTGTTCGGCAAGGACGCGCCTGCGCTAATCCTAGTTAACACCGCGGCCGTCACTAAGAACAAGAGACTTGTGGCGGACGCTGTGTCACGCGGAGCTAAGCTGCTGTTTGGCGACGCCGATGCAAGCGAGTCCCTTAACACGGGCATGCGGCCGATCGTCGTTGACGGTGTCACCAAGGAGATGGACATGTACGCGACCGAGTCGTTTGGCCCGACTGTGTCTCTCATGGTAGTGGACACCGAGGACGAGGCGATCGCCCTGGCCAATGACACAGAATACGGCTTGACTGCCGCTTTGTACACTAACAACCTATTCCGGGGGCTGCGGGTGGCTAAGCAAATCGAGTCTGGGTGGGTTTCCGGTTTTCGGTACATCATATGGTGGAGATTGGAGGCTAACTTTGTTGTTTCTTTCCAGGGCCGTTCACATCAATTCCATGACTGTACACGATGAGACCGTCCTCCCGCACGGAGGATGGAAGAGTAGTGGCTTTGGCCGCTTCGGAGGCATTTCTGGATATGACGAATTCCTCCAGACTAAAACTGTCACCTGGCAGGAGTAGAGGTTAGACTCATACTTGACCATGAGCACGTCGGTACCCACGGAGTAGGTACAGAGCAGATCTTTCTGGATTGGCCCCGTTTTGGGGCCCGTTTTGGGGGTCCGTTTGGCCCCCGGAAAGATTGGGCCGCTACGGGCGACGGTTTCCTTAGTTGTATTGACGGGCTTGTTTGGGGCTTTTGGGGCTTTGGGGGGCTTGTTCTGGGCTTGTTTGGAGTCAAAGATGGGGCTTAGTCGGCTTTGAGCCGAGCCTTGCTGTCAATGCAGCCAATGACGGAGCCTTCTCGTCGCCTAGAGGTACTATCTAAGGAATGTGGTCCGGATACCCGGCCCATACCGTATAGACTTGAATCGGTGACTCCATGTGATGTGTGATTTATGTTGCATCGGATCTACAGTGTAGTATACGCCAATACGGGATATATATTTTGGTCTTTTTTTTTTTCTTCTTTTGAATTTTTTTTTGGGTTCGGAGCCTCCGATGTAGGTCCGTTGTACTTTGGCAATGAGGCTGAAGGTCATGTGATCTATGTTTTTTTTTCTATGAAATCTAAAAATACCTATTTTGTAATAAAGGGCTATCAATAAACCTAGACTTGTGGGATTGTAGCCTGGAGCATCCAGTAAAGAAACATTTTGAACGATAGTTGCGGCGAAGGCGCTGGACCAAGTCCCGCCCTAAATGCAGGCACAGGAGGGTAGCAAATCACATCAAATCAAGGCAAAATCACCAAGTGAGACATAATCCATTCCGGGTGTATTTTTATATTTTTTTCAGTTTTCATTTTACATGTCTTACCTCTGTTTTGTACGTAGGAAATGAGCAATTACAACATGGAAATAACACTAGTACATAGTAAGCTGGTAAACTTTTACCCTCCCCTGAATATCAAGTGTTGATCTTTCCTACAGATATCATTATCATAGCAGCGAAAGGGATCGGCGAATTTGATATGATCACGGACCTGCCAGTGTGGAGCTATGTAGTCGTGATAGTCGTGATAGTGAATATGAATATCAGAATTTAAGCCAGTTGAGTTTGAAATCATATTTTCCCCGTGGAAAGACACATGGTATCTGCAAGGCACAACTGTGGCTTTTACAGCTTTATCCAGTACAATACCTGTATGACGCCCGTTACAAGGCCTAGGCTTGAAGGCGCACCTCTGGTAATCTTGCAATTTCCCTTTATTCTTCAGATGCGAGTGGCGTAAATGAGGACAAGTCCTTAAAATAGTATCTGTTCATATAATTTCATATAGTACTACGGAGTACATATACGTATCATACCTTTTAAAGAGGCTCTGTGACCTACCATGGGTAATCGGATTTATCTTAGATCCTGCCAAGATTTTCATACTGGAACCTTGTACAACCTTGGAAGGCTTAAGATAAACCAACCTTGGAACATGTCAACCCTTTTTTAGATCTACATAGTACAGATGTATGTACTATATAGTACTATATTACAATGAAAAATCTATATTTACATAGTACTTCTGGTATTTTTAATCTTATTTTGCGACATTCTCGACATTAAAGGGCCTGCCGTTATTAGGAATAAAATTAACCTCCGGGTCTCCTACCAATCAGAATCAGTACCTGACCATTATGATTATTACTTGTATAACCTGTATATTACAATAATATATGAGCCACAGCCGGCCCGCATGCCCCACGAGGACATCAAAATTGGGGCAACTGTCATAGTAGGTATTCTCTGTATTACAACCGTACACTATAACACCTTACATATGTAGTATTAGGGTCTATTGTGATTGGTAGAATGAATACGAAGAGACGGGATACTCTCTTAATGGAACAAGTCAAAGCCACATTAGCTTAACTAAAAATTAAAAAAAACAAAATGTAAACGAAATGAAGGTGCGCATTGGTCGTTTGGGTTTTCGCTCAAGTGGTTTAGCTTAGACCCACTTGGATGTACATCCTTGAAATGTACTTTGCTTCGCCCTTCTTCTTTCTTTATTATTCCTCTCTTTTCAGTCCACTCATTACAATCTTTTTTTTTCGTTTTTCAACGATAGCCATTCTTTTATTTCTCCTACTAAAGTCATTCGTTGTCAATCTCGACATTCCATCATGCGTTTCTCTGTCGCCACCGCTTTCTCTGCCCTTGTGGCCCTGGCTGCTGCCTACACCGATCCCGACTACACCACCGAGCCCACTGGCAATGCCATCCTCTCTCCTGGCCTGAACGAGATCGTCCCCGAGGGCAAGTCCTACACCATCAAGTGGGATCCCACCACCGTTGGACCCATCTCCCTGGTCCTCCTGCGCGGCCCCTCCACCAACGTCGTCCCCATCAAGACCCTCGCCGAGTCTATCCCCAACAGCGGCGAGTTCAAGTGGACCCCTAGCACTGAGCTGGAGGCCGACGTCTCCCACTACGGTCTGCTCCTCGTCGTCGAGGGTACCGGCCAGTACCAGTACTCCACCCAGTTCGGTCTCTCCGCACCTGCTGGCTCCGTTTCCAGCTCCAGCTCTGCCACCAAGACCATTGAGACCAGAACCACTGAGACCGCCAAGACCTCTGCTACTACTGACGCCGCCTCTTCCACCCTCGTTGAGAGCACCGTGATCACCACCACCATCTGCCCCGAGACCGAGACCACCGCTGCTGCCACCATCCCCCCCAAGGCTACCCCCACCGGTGTCTCCCCCGTCGGACCTCCCTCCAGCCGCCCCTGGACCTCCATCCCTCTCACCACCAGCGCCGCTGCCACCGGTACCTCCTCCGCTGCTCCTTCGGCTTCGTCCCCTGCCTTCAACAGCGCTGGCCGTAACGTCATCAGCTTCGGTGCCGTCATGGCCGGTGTCCTCGCTGCTTTCGCTCTCTAAGCGCATTCCCCTAAAATGGAATCGCGTGCCGATGGGCATTTTCTTTCTTTCTGTTTCAAGTCTGGAAATCTGGAAATAATGTTTGGTTGTTTTCATAAGGCTTAATTTATTGATATCTTGATATGGGCTCTTTGGATTCTGTCGTTTGGCTGAGTTTCTGCATCTCATACCATGTTTTCTTCTTATGTGCTATATTTCTCGCATCTGTCTCAGCTATGCTTGTGTAATGTGAAGTTCATGTCTTTATGCTTCTTCCTATCTTGTAGTCTACTTGATCCTCGGGCATCGGTCGAGTATACCTGTACAGACTTGTAGGTATCTCTAGAGGCAACAGACAGGGAACGCTCAACGCACAAGAGAACCCGCGCTGCTCGACCCATGTCTTCCACAAGCACCAGGCATAGTCTGATCCGGCCTGACCATGACTATACCTTTGTTCTATACTCCTTATGTACTATTTAATAAACTCTATCATATATACTACTTTGCCTTCATAGAGAGGCATTTAACCCCTATGTAAAACGAATCGATGAAGCGACAGACCTGAAAATCCACCATGGCCTCAGGCACCCATGCGTCAGTAAATGTGATATGGCCACACCTAGCCCCATTTAGTTATGGAAAGAAGGTGATCGATACTCCGTAGACTTACTTGGTAGAATCAAGCAGAACAGGGGCAAAGACAGGTCTGGCAAGCACTTCCCGAGAAAACAGCATCTCCCCAAAGGGGCAAACGCCTATGTCTCAGTACACCAAACAAGCAGCAAACAGCTCAGGGCCGCAACCTGATTGCGCTTGAAGATGTGATATGGTCCAAACCTCTTTATGCATGACGCAAACTAGAGAAGCTTAGACCCCTAGGAGCTCCTCTAATCCACTTGTTTGCACGGCGTACTCCGTAGACACGCAGAATACAAACAGAATAAAGATAAAATGGAAAACTACATGTAGAAAGTAGCCCCAGTATAACTCCTGTTACACTATGGAGTAAATGATATATAATATACTCTATCTTGGGGATGTCTCTTCGTAGCGGTCTAGCTAGGTTATTTGTCACTTCACCTCCTCAGCCTTATGCAGCCTTACGTATGTTGAGAAAAAAAATATAGATCATACAACTTTTCTATCTTGAGTGACATCATTAATAGACAGGTAGTTGTATAGTTAACTATACCAAACAGACTATCACGTCATACGGTGAATAAAACTTGCTACCCTCTGGAGACTATCTGATATGGTGTAAATTTCTTTGCTACGATGATATATCATATAATAGAGGCTATATTTAACAGCGACCTCCCCACTTTGAGATATATATAGCAACTAGTCTGTTACTCCCTCTTTACTACTCCGTATCAATTCCAAGACCGCAAGGAGTATTGAGTACTCCTCACAGCAACCCGATATGGACGAAGAAAACCTGTTCTCCTGGCTCATTTTCACCACCCTTCTCCTTTTAGTCATGGCCCTTTTGAACCATTTCCTCATGCCCATACTAGCCCACCTAGCCCTTGCAGCTCTCAATTCTGTAGACCAGCTTTTTGATCGACTTCGCCCGTTCATACATATATAATTCTCTGCTATGGGACCGTGCGTCCCCAATTCCAAGCGCTACTCTGGTCGTCAGGGATCAGATTGAACATGACTGTCAACACATTAGTTAGCATATCTGATTATCGGACCGTAGTTCAGCTCCACTCACGTTCACCGAAGGCACCAAATGTATCGTCAAGTTGTTCAAAAATATTCGCGGACGGGTGTTCAGACGGCTCAATGGGTGTTTGGACTAGTCTCTCGTTTATCCCACTCTGATTATGTATCTTTTGGGACATTTCTGGATGTTGTGTCGAATGGGGCGGTGCGTGAATAGTTGACGTTGGATGATGATCGCGGAAGATGTCTGGCGAGGATAGCGAAGGAATCCCGGTATTGTCTATACGAACCGGTTGTACACTCGAAATGGCACCCCTCTCAGACACCTCCCTGGAAAGACTTGATTCCAGCCCCCTCTCAAGGCACCGGACATCTCTCGCTCGATCGTCACTTTCAGCAACTCCGTCAAAAGCTGTGCAGTCTGCTTGGCAATGCGATTGTGGGGCCCAAAAGCTGCGCTAGCATGGATGATACGCATGATTCCTGCTTTGGCCTCGTGCGCAGCTGTAGTGAAAGGCTGACTAGTTGGGAGGATGCAAAGAATGACTCCTGCAGTAAATTGTTGTAGGGAAGCGAAGGATTCGGCGAAATGGTGCTTGAAACGGAGGACCGGGATGCGAGATATCCGCAGTGCAGCTGCACTGGCCACTCTCAAGGACTCGTGAATTGCGTCTACCACTAAGCGCGAGCAAGAGCTAGTTATTTTCTGCTCAAGCAAAGGTCGCCGAGCTTGTATCAGGGCCCCATCGTATGTTAGTTGAAGAGTTGCCGCCTGCAAGATAATTGTTTCTGCCTGGTATTTGGTGCGTTGTGGTAGCTCTTCTATTTGCTGTTGGAACTGTTCTAGGCGATTGTCGGAGCTCCAAAACTCGAAATCGAACAACCGAGGAACCCTTTTTCGCCAGGAAACTAATTGTTGCTCTGAGTCTTGTGTAGCTTCTGCAATTGCCAGAAGGTCCTCTATCGTCTCTTTTCTGGATTGGAGACGACGAATCCGCGAAAGAATGTGTCGGATAATGTTGTAAATCTCATGTTTCATAGCAAAAAACCCAGCTGTCGTTGTTGTCATTCCATCGCCGGATATCCATTCATTCTTCAGCAGAAGCGGATCGATGGCTAGGTCATCCATATCTCTGAGCGAATGCAAAGCGACGAGTCCAGTGTCGATAGAGGAAGGTCGGCCATAGATCATAGACGTGAACGTGTCACCGACAATAGCATGGTTCCAACAGCGAGAACGAATCTCATCCACAACTGGGCTTTCATACTGAGTTGATTTCGTATAGAGATGAAGGGCATAGGCAGACTTCACAGCCATGCCAGAGACAGTCCAGGCGAGACTTGGCGAACTATGATAAACGTAATAGGAGGACACCAAGAAGCAAACTTGAACAGCTTCAACTCGACAGTCGATTGAGATATCGAGCAGATTCCGTCGTATCTCGTTGATGAGCCCGTGCATCAACTTCTCCCCGTCAACGGAGTGTTCTCGCAACAATTGGTGCCCGGGCCATCTCTGATCTGGTAGCACACAATGCAGCCCAATCATAGCCACTGCCAGAACAGCCATAGTAGGGCTGAGATCTTGACGTCTCCATGAATTCTGGGAAATTATCCTTCGTGCAGTTTGCCGGAATGAAGGCTCATGGAGTAGCAAGATAAACCATTGCATTCGGTCGAAATAGACGTCAATTAAGGCTAACATCACGGCCTCTGGGGGGAGCTCTACCTCTGTCAAATGCCATAATGGGTTATCCAACGTAGGAGCTCCCGTATCGCCAGGGATTGATGCACCAGTCAGAGTCCGACCAGCTTCTTCCTCATTGAAGACTTGTCTGGCGAAGTCAATCGCAGAAGCATTAGCACCAGACCGCGGCTCTTTCGGAGACTGTTCCGGATAAGGGGCTGAGCTCTCTCTAGCGTAAGATGTATCTGTTCCTCCGGCGCGATGGATAAAATTAGAATTTTTGTGCGTCGCTGGTGCGATTGCTTTGTGTATTCTAGAATGCAGATCTCTGCCCCCTGGGTTTTGCCTGCGAGTCCGTTTCGTTGTGCGCTGAGATGTCTCGCAGCTATGTCCAGCGCGAGTACAAAGGACACAAGGGCGTGAGCTGTCGCACTATACAAATGTTATCAGAACCATAGTTCCGAACAGGGGGCATCCTAAAGGAATATCTACCTTAAGTTTCTGGCGGCGACATCTGTCACATGCTCGCGATGTACGGAGGGACCTTCGCAACGAACTACTCTCTTGCTCCATGAATATATTAAGGTGGTACCTTGAGCAATCCTGTGTAGAATGGAAATTTGCAGGGGGTTCTGTTCACGGAGGGCACCGGTGACTAGAACTGGGGTCCCCGCAATTCCGGAAGAATAACCGCGGGGAACCGAATGTAGCCTTGGCCTCCCTATACATACATGTAGGAATAGTATCTTAATTAATTTCATTCTGTGTACGCTAAAATGACCAAACGTTTTTTAAATGTATTAAGTTGTGATCAACCCCAAAAGATGTCCACGAGCATACTGCGCCTGTGAAAGAACAATTTCAGCCGCAGGATATGTTTGTAGTAAATACCCAGCTGCTTCCTCGCAAGCGTATAAGTTCGACATTGCCTGCCTTCTCACGATATCATCCGAAACCTTGAGGCCAGGAAGGCTTACCTCAAGAATAATAATCAGTATAGTAATAGTGCTCCCGGGGAGAAAATGAAGCATCCTGCAGTCATGCAGTTCATTGAGAATCTCATTGACTTGCGAAGTCAACTCTCTCATCTCCGTGATAAGGGTGGTCGGGAGGCCATCCCCTCCACTCGAAGCAGCTTGGTGGAGTATGGACATTGCAGTGAGATGCAAGAGATACAGGAAAGCCCGGTGAACAAGGAGGACAATCTCCGGGGACTCTGTATGGAAATCATGCAAGAGTGATGGGGGGAAATAATGTGCCGGAACAGGAAGGTTCTGAATCCAGGACTTCAAGAGCTGTTCACATCCAGCTATGGCAACCTGTGATACATTTGACTTGGGTGCCATGGAGTATTCATAATTCCCCGATGACGACGGCAACCAATCATCTTGATAAAGAAGATTGATGACCATGCCCACACAATGAGCAAGCTTAATCTCCTGAATGAACAAAACCATCATTCGCTCCTGGTTTTCCCAGTTGAGCATGGCAGATGCTTCTCCCAGCATAGCCAACACGAGGTCATGGTATGGCTCGGAGGAATAGTATCTCGTAGATTCTAGTAGCGACATTGTGACATCACTGTTTGGGATTCGGAGTTGTCGACGGAAGCCGAGGGCGAGAATGCGGTCACGCACATAGAGGCACCACCATAGCCTATGCTTGTGGGTAAAACTACCTGTTTCTAAACTCCCAAGGAGACCGATGCGTTCTGCTGTCGAATAGGCGAGATCAAACCAGTATATTGGGACTTTGTGACCAACTCCACTTCCATGCCACTGCATCATGAGCAATAATGCTTGGATCTGGGTGTATGCATTGGGCTCGGTCTCAAATTCATAAAGAAGCTAATGACAGGATCAAAATTAGTCGTGACTTGCCATGGATTCTACTTTCTCCAGATATCTTACCTTAGCTCGTCCATATAATGTTCTTCGCAATGCCTTTCGCGACGAGAACCCGGCTTTAACGGCAGTTTCCTGCTCGATAAATGCACTGCCAGCCAACATGACAGCTTGATGAAGGAGCGGGCTCGGAAATCGGGATTCATCCTCGACCATGACATTTAATAAAAACCATTGCAAATCAATGACAGGCAGCAAAGGATGGACATATTTGATGTACGCCCCGAGCAACTGATTCCGAAGATCGATGGGAACTATTCGCAGAGCTCCTTTCAATTGTAGATACTCTTTACTTTCTTCGGAGATATTTGGAAGCCGGGTTTTGAAGGTTCGCTGCAGTTCGCATGGCTGATTTTGCTCCCCTAGAATAAGATCTGGGGTCTGCGGCGAGAGCAGCTCATTTATCGTCGTGAGATAGCTGTCTAAGGGATAGGTCTGGGGTACATTGCGCGTCAAGCTCATATGTGGTTGGCCAGATGTCGGACTACTCTCCGATGCGATGAACTGCGTAGGACCACCTAATAATATTAGTGTCAATGTAGAGATTTGGGGTATACGCTTGGCGCGGTTGTCTTACCTAGGCCACCCCCACTACTTTCCAACCGATCTACATCCTCGGCATTGGAAAAAGCCTCGAAGAGACCCCTAATAGAAGACGCCAGATCCATCGGCACGGACTCCGATCACTTCCTCGGTCTGCTACTAAAGGAATTAGCGCTAGTGCAATTATTATATAGAGGCGGTTCCGCTCCTAGAATGTGGGGGAAATATTTACCTTGATTCTTAGGGATACCAAAGGATGCGAAGATCTCAATTGACTGCAACAGACACGTGAACCGATCTCCGGTTTGCACCGGAAATTTGACTGTTTGCACTTGACGCACTCTTGTGATAGTCGTTGGGTTACTTGTTTCAGTGTTCTTTCCAGGCGTCTTTTCCAACTATGTTGCGCTGTGGAGGATTGCCCTCAATATGAAGGGGATACGAGGAACATACGCGTCATGGGGAAACTCGGGGCCCCGCATTTCCGAGGAGCCGAGGAGGAATTCTTTGATAATATTGGTTGTTCGTAGTCTCAGTTTTTCACGCCTAGACTTCTAAGTCGCTGAGACATTGCGGTGAGTGGACGATCATCTTCCACCGGACACTAATTGGGAACTTCCACCGGAACTTCAGGAACCAATCACATGATTTGAGCAATTTGATCTTCATCTACACCGGAAACGACTTTATTCTGTATGAATAAAGCATAGTTTCAAAGCTATTCAGAAGCTACGTCAAAACAATCCATAAAGGATCCCCGGCCCGCACTAACAGCAATCCCATCCTCGCCCATCAAATCTGAGCTCAAGACTAGGATGAAATTCAAAAACCTGCACAACACGACCCGTGGACTCTGCAGCCGCTTATGCATCTGAACAGTCATCATATCGAACGCCGCCCTCATGCAGCACTCATCACACGGCACAGCAATGTACGGCAGAGCCGGCTTTGTTCACTCGGATGTCGATTGAACTGCTCGTCTACAATGTCGACCACTTATTAGAAATATCTGAGATGCCACTTCTTTGCCTACATGTATGCATACTTATGATGTCATATTAATCACCCTGTGACACCTCGTCCTGCATCACCGGGTTTATCATAAGTCGACCAATCACTTCCAGGTAATGTATGTCTCAAATTTACATACATTGCAGGCTAAGCTTTTTGAGACCTCGGATGCGAGTATGGTCTTGAAAATCGAGATTCAGCGATAGAGCCGCAAGATAATTATGTGTTTAGGCAGCAATTGCGAGAATCAGGTGTTAAAAACTTTCATGTTTTGAATTTCCGGTTTTCAAAATAAGAGTCTACCAATTTAAAACAAAAAGGATGATTCAATACATCGCCAATGGAGGTATCACCGCTGTGCAATCCATACACAAAAAGAGCGAGAAAAATCAAATAAAAAGGACAGGACGTGAGGATGGAGTAAGACAGGGTAATATAATGGCGGTGAGAATAGAAAAGTATAGATTTTACTTTCGCAGAACCCGGCGAGTCTTTTGATGAGGCGAGGAAGAAATGCAGATAGATAGTTATACACACCCAGCCTAAAGGAAGAGGCACTTTTTGAGTAGGCCACATCACTAAAGGAGTATAGACTAACTGCGAGCGGCCATGCCAGTGACCGCTTGTTTGTCTCTCCTGGTAGCAGTAGCACACACAAGAGAGAGAGGAGGGGGGGAAGGATTAAGAGCGTAAGGGAAAGGGGGGAAATGACAAGAGAGAACGAAATTCATAGTTTGCTAAAAACTCATGTCAAGGACGTGGCCACGATCCTTGAAGTGGAGGTAGTGGGCCCCCAGATACAGACGGTGACCCAGCAGGTGGGCCAGCAACCGCCCGCCCGGTTGGTACAATGGGGGTTGAAGAATATGGAGGACTTGCGGGCCAACCAGGCTGAGACGGAACTGAGTCGAGCATTCTTCCCTGTGAAGGCGGACCCGCCGAAATTGGCTGTGTGCCTGAAGCGGATCGGGCAGCATCAGCGCCCGACCAAGTTGTCGTGGTGCCCGGTTCGGATGCAGGCAGGAGGGTCGGTTGGGTGGAGCGTGGCGAAGGTGGTCTCGGAGGTAAGGCACTCAGAGACATTGTGCGGCCGATATGGTCGCGGTAGAAGTCCCGTTCGGAGCGGTAGTGGTCTCGTTGCTGGATGAGGGAGCGAAGCTCCTCGCTCTGGCGGCGGACTGTCTCTACATTGCGCTGGATCTCGTCCTGTTGTGCGGTAAGCCGCTGCTCAAGTTGCATTTCGTTGCGCTTGCGATTGCGGAACCGCCGTGATGCGTCGCTGTTGGCTTTGCGCTTTTCTGCTTGGCTGGAAGACCCGGATCGCATGTCTAGTACGCATGGTATCATTCCCAGCGGGAGAGGGCTGGTTTGTGGTGTTCCGGCTCGAGTGGGAGGCTGTTCAGGTTGGCGTCTAGGGCCTTTTGTTGTAGGTACTGATCGGGTCAGAGGGTCCATTGACATATATGGAGGCGCATTGGGATATGATGCGGTACTTTGTGGGAGGGAGACACTGGTCACTGCTGGAGATGCCCGGCCAAAGGGACTGAAAGTTGAATGAGATGTGCTAGGGCTTGTTTCTTGGGAATTCGGGTTGGTGCGAGGCCCTTGGCCGGCACTGGTTCGCCGAGAATGCAATGAAGTCAGCGTAGAAGGCTGAGTACCAGTGAGAGATGCTATTGGGCGTAGACCCGTCTCTAGCGGCAGAGGCGAACTAGTAACGGGCAGGCGTGGGCCCATCAAAGGTTCGTGAGGAACTAGCGGTGACTGTGCGACACTTGACTGACCGGACGTCCTGCCGCCCCCACCAACAAACCGTGCCGATGGCGACGCTGGATTCATCGAAGGCCGTGAATGAGACCTAGGAGATAATGGCTGTGATACCAACGGATATCCTGAGCGGATTGTAGGCGAAGTCCCTTGGGGGCGAGGTGGGGAAGATGGACCCGGTAGGCTCAATGGCTCACGGCTGTTAGGTGTGGTCAGATCAGCCGTTGCCTGTGGATGATTCAAGATGGCATGAACACCAATGGGTCGCGATGAGATGGATTCCAATGGTGGTTCCACAGGTCCATATGGATGCCATGACTGGGGCCGAGGTCGATTAGGTGGCCGGCGGCTAGGATTTCGGTTGGTTGTAAATCCGTCACTCGCACGGTCATCTGTTTGAGCCACATCTCTGGACAATGAACCTGCACGTCGAGAATGCGACATAGAAACCAAATTTCCCACAACGGGGCGGGAGTTAGGGCATGACCGAAACCCCCCTCTCTCCTCGTCGCTGGGTTCTCGAGGAGTGTGAGAGAGGGAGGGTGAAGGTGATGGATACCGATCTGAATAAAGTGACAAATTGGGTGAATGTGAGCCTGAATATGGTGCGTTCAACACGCTGATTCCTAAGGCAGCCACGATGAATAATGATAATAGGATATATAGAACAGAGAAAACTCGATTCTCAATTGAGAATCGAGGGAAAGATAATCAATATAAGTGAAGCTAAGAAAGCTAGGAAAGTTAAGATGGGAACGGAAAAGATCCGAGGCCCTAAGCTAAGAGAAAAGAGTCAAAGTCACAAAGTCAGGAAGTCAGGAAATTAGAAAATGGGGGCGACAAGCTTAAGAACAGCCGTTGAATAGCAGCGGTGAGAGAATGATCCATCACCTGGTCTGGATGGCTCCAAGACAACTAAGTTGTCTCTCTGTCCGACCCAGCCTGGCGGATAGTTGGGCAGGATCTCCTATGGAGACCACCCTAGTCTAACCCCCGGAGTATTGGGCTTCTTTTTTTTTTATTATTTTTGGTTTCTTTTTTTATATTTTTTTTTTCCTTTTGGGTTTTTAGTTTTTTCATTTTAGATGATAATATTAGGGTAAAATAGAAAGGGGGGGGGGGGGAGGGGGAAGAAAAAGAAAAGAAATAACAGAAATAGATGTAGACACAGTATATATCCAATATGTCCAATATATGTCTGAATGGAGTACATGATTGATATCACCCCCTATTATATAGTAGGCAATAACCAAATTCAGCTATAGAGTCATTCTATAACCCTATAGTAAGTACCTAAGTACCCGGGGAAACCGATCGTCATGCACAGCACGAATCATCGGGAGCTGCAAGTGTGCGCCGTCACCATGGACATGGACAGGGACGAGTGGAGACTGACTTTGTTTTTTTTTTCCTCTTGACTTTTTGGTCTTTTTTTGGAGGGAGTAACTTTTTTTTTAAACTATTTAGTCTGATGCCGTAAAGAGTCAAGCTCGGAAGGTTAGAGGTTCTTGGGGGGGCGTAGAGAAGGTCATGGATAGTACAAGGGAATCCAGAAACTTCCTTTTCTTCTACTCCGTAATGACGCATGGCAATCTGAAAAGTGAATGCCAAACTACTCCGTAGTACTCCATTTATTCTACTCCATTGTCTGATCTATACCCGAGTGGGTATAGCTAGTGAGGCAATCCCCAATAGTTGCCTTGGTCAGTCCAGTAAGCTTGGTCCTGTCAATTTCCCACAGAGTTTGGTGCTTGGAGAAACTAAAATCGAAGTGAACTTATTAATCTTGAAAGGGGGTCGCAGAATATAATTTTTTTAAAAAAAATTGAAAACAATACAAGAAACAAAAGAACGAAAAGGCAGAAAGGAAGAAAGAAAAATCAACATTTGCAATTGTCAAGGTTTATAGAAGATGTTGTGCATCATCCAATGTTCCCCGTATCCCGGCAAAAGGGGCCGTTTACCGTTGACCGTTAGGGGTAACAGGAACAATTGGAGGTCCGTTCCTCAGGAAATAGTGTTAGCCTTGAGATGTTAGCCTTGAGATTTTTGTACTTTTTATACGGAGTACTTAGTAACATGTGTATAGAACTAGTTGACTAGATCTTTTGACGTCATATTGAACATTGAACAGGGTAACGCCAGAAGAATAATTGAATCTATGCAAATGAACACACTCTATAATCAACTTAAAACGTTTCACCCGTGTGACACCGATCTAACCCCATGGCGTTCAAGGTGATGTCATATTCGAAACAGTAAAAAGGTAAATAAACCGCAACAGTAACCAGGTGAGAACTCTCTCTCTATCACAAGCTTGGATTTGATGCTCCACGATCGGACCAGCCGGAAAGGGATCCGGCCAGGATGTCCCTTTAAATGTGAGATGCATGAGAAGTCGTGTGGATAGCTCTGTTTCGGGCTTTTCAAGCTTGTCCCAGATTGGATAAAGATTCCGCGTGGCAATCCTCAAATAAGCAGCGGAGATCGCTTTAGTGTCGAGCACACTTAAAAGTGGATGCTTGAAGGAAAATAAAACTTCACATACGTGAGCCGGCGTAGCTGAAGCGCGTTTCTTGGCACTAGCTAATATGTTGAATCAAGCATTCTAATATCTCTGGAGCTGTTTCATCTCCGGATCCTGATCAGGATACTCGATACGGAGTAGTATATGTTGTATGTTGTAGGTGCCTGCATTTGCGATAGATCCTCTTTGGATTATGCGTTGTCATGCACAAATCCCGAAGGTCGCTTCCGACAGAGTTTGAAGGGGAGCTGTCAGTCTTTTGTTGCAGTAGACCCGCTATTGTGTATTTCTTTTTCTTTAGTTTCTTTTTCCGAAGCGAATCATCGGCCATGATAGAAAGACAATTGTGGTCTGATAGATCCAGGGGATTTGACTGGTTGAATCGAAAAGTGGGGGCCCTAGAACTGGGGCTAGAATATGTTCTGGAGAATTTGGAAGATTTTGATATTTCTCTTCTTTTTTGTGTGTTTTCTCTCTTAACTGGTGGCTTGAAATCCCACCATTTGAAGACCATTGAGTCCTCCCGCCTAGGCAAGTTGTTATGGTACTTTATAGGTAATTGCCGAGGTCCTCCCGGATGCGTATCATCAGACTATTTGAATTGTGCAGAAAATCGAGAAGTTAAAAAGATATCCAGTAGAACGGATTCATCGATCACTGGACACTTTTTTTTCTCTCTTTTCGTTTTCCTGTTTACTCTGAACTTCAAAGTGGATATCCCCCCTTTTTCATGATCTACTTCGGCCTGTTCACCGCATGGATCTCCGATTATCTCGTGTCCGCTTCAACCGCATTTTCTTTGGGGGAAAAAAAAAGGGAAAAGAATAGCTTTGTCTAATCTAGATCCCTAACCAGGATATCTTCCGTTATGCTTGACAGGTACTCCGTACGGGTAGATCTTCCCCTTTCTCGCACTTCTCTACTTCGTACTCCGTACTCCATACATCGAATCGACCCACAGTCATCGCAAGAGTAGCACAGAAACACAAAAGGACGGAGTACACTGAAACACAATATCACTCCCTGCCTATGCCCTGCAGGGCAGATCCGCATAAAAGAGGTGGCAGTGCTAGGTGCTAGTCCGCCCACGCGTTCTCTGACCTTGAACAGCCAAGTTCGAAATTAGGCGAAAATCAGGGGCATTAAAACGAATTTTATATTATATAATAGTATGTATGGAGTATATGGTCGACATGATGTGAGATCGATATGCAGACCCTGATTTGATCTATAAACCTGGCCTTTGTCCCTTGCGTGAGCTGCAGTGGAAGGCTACCCTGACCCGGGTGTCCGGACAATGACAGCGCGGACCGACGTGCTCGCCCGTTTGCTGATCACCGATCTACACCCAGTTTTGAGCTGCATGTCCTGATTTGGCGACTGCATCTGTTGCGTACTTTTTTCTTTTTCTTTTCTTTTTTTCTCGTGCGAGTGGGATGACTACACTTCCCGCCTTTTGGCCCAAATTTTGGAGCGGGAAATGGGAAGTACTAGTGACGCACCATTGATCCTTTTGCTGCTGTACACATGTACGTTGCAGTGGATACGACATAGGTACGAAGTAAAACAAGAATAGACCAGGAATCGAACTAAGCATTCACTTCGTCTCGGCAATAGTAGGCGGCGGAAGGTAATATATATGTTACATGTACTATGTGCCATATACTATATGTTATGGATGCCTGATGCACACGATACAACACAAATCCTTCAGACTCTAGTTCTGAAACCGAAACTCGTTCTTAGGCACGCCACGGATCCCAACATCAATCTTGAAAAGCCGGCCTCCATACCTGACTGACTGGGGCAGCTGTTCATCATCACGATCATCCTTGGCAGTAGTAATAAACAACTCAGTGCCGACAAAGGCTGGACAGGTCACGTTGCGGGTCGGGAGATCGATCTGACCGATAATCTTTCCGGCCGGGGAAATGCGCAAGACCTTTCCGCCGCCGTAGATAGCGCTCCAGATGCAGCCCTCGACATCAATAGCGAACCCATCAGGCTCTAGCGCGTTGCCGATATCGAAGTGTACACGGCGGTTGCTGATGGCGCCAGTGGACGCATCAAAGTCAAAGGCAAAGATCTTACCAGTCGGTGAATCCGTCAGGTACATCACGTCGTTGGTCAGGTTCCACCCGATCCCGTTAGGGATCGTTACTGGTGCCAGCATATGGTGCACGCTCTGGTCTGGGTCTAGTCTGAATAGAACGCCTTCTGCTTCTGGCTTCTTGATCTTTGGGTCGTTCATAGCCCCCGCCCAAAACCGGCCGTGGCTGTCGACTGCGCCATCATTGAAACGCATCCTACATTTTGTAAATTGGGGGTTAACGTTAGTCAGGGTCCATAGATTGGGTCGCTTTTTTTTGCCTTTTTTTTCCTTTTTTTTTTTCTTTTCAAGACATAAGCTTACCTCTTTGCTTTCTCCTCATCATCCCAAATTTCCTTGATATCATGGATGTAGTCGAACTTCCCGGTAGTTTGGTCCAACCGAGCAAATCCATATTTGGCCCCAACAATCAGCTGATTGGACGTCGGGTTGGCAATATTAGCGGTCACGCTAAAAGTCCACGTGGTTCAGCCAGAGTAATTTATTTTCGGGAGTTGGAACCCACCCAACAGAGGCATCGGTCTCAATGACCGTCAATGAGTCAGGTCCCTTGGCCAAATCAATTCGATAGAGTTTGTGGTCCCAAATATCAACGAAACGGAACTCATTCTTGGCCACATCGTGAAAGGGGCCTTCGAGTAGTGTTCCTGGAATGTCAAGGTACGGCTGTTTGAAGTTAGCTGTCTGTGATTGGCTTATATTTCTTTTTCTTTTTCTTTTTTCCTGTTCTATGACAGGCTCGGGAGAATAATCGTCACGTCTGACCGACAGAACCAGCCCGAGATAATAAAAAGAAAAAAGAAATAT